ATAGTGTATATAGCTCTCACCTTTCAGTCTCTCTCAATCCCTCCGAACCCATGTCTTTCTTTTTTTATCTTGCCTATCACTTCCACCTTCTCTCCCTTTCTTCTTGCCTTTCTGTCATATTCTCCCTCCCCTTTTCCTGTTTAACCTTTTCTTTGTAATTCCTCTCTTTCTCACTCCATATATACTTTTCCTCTATATAGATGGCTTTTATTTCATCCCCTCTTTATCTCTCTCTCTCTCTCTCCTTTCTACTTCTTGCCTTTCTTATTATCCCACACATATTCCTGTTTAACCCTCTACGCCCCTCTCCCCCTTTCTCTCTTCTACTCCTTGCCTTTCTTTCAGACTCTCTTCCTATACTCCCACTCCTTTCTCTCCTGTTTAGCTTTTCTCTATTACCCCCCCCCCCCCTCTCTATCTCACTCCCTCCCTCTTTCTTTTATTTAACACTTATCGCACTGTCGGTCTTTCCGATTCCCCGGCCCCCCCACTCAGGTTTCGAAATGACCGCATGCGTGTTGCCAAAATGTCCGGTAAAGGGGTACTTTTCGTGCGACAAAGTCCGGCCCGAGAATTGTAAAAAAAAGGGGTGTATTTGACTTTTCACCCGGAGATTTCTTTAAAAAGGGGGTGTTTTTTCTTTTTTTCTCTCATCTATTTGGACTCCTGAGAAATTATTCCGAATTTAGGGGGGTACATTGAGCATTTTTCCTGATTTAGGGGGGTCTCCAAGGCAGGAAAAGCCCGCGAAAAGCCCGCGAAAGGGGGGTTCGGAAATGTTGGCAGTCCTCAGATAGGGGGTGATTTCAAAAAGAGGGAACGAGCATATGCGTACCCTAAATAACACTGAGTGGGGGGGCCGGGTCCGATTCCCTCTCTTTAGTATAATCTTTCTAAACTGTCTCCTTTATTCGTCTTGCCTTTTTGTTAATTTCTCCCTCTCCTTTTCCTGTTTACCCTCTACCCCGTGTAAAAACATGTTAATTTTACCTTTTTTTCTCTCATCTTACTTTTCTCCATTATTCTCTCTCTCGTCCCCTTCCTTCATACTCTTTCTCTATTTAGCTAGCCTTTCTTTCATCGCCTCATTCTCTCTCTCTCTCTCTTTTCTATACTTCTTGCCTTTCTTTCACATTATCCCAAACCTTTTCCTGTTTATAAACCCTCTACCCCCTCCCTCTCTTCTACTTCTTGCCTTTCTTTTAGACTCTCTTCATACTGTCCTGCTCCTTTGTCTCATGTTTACCTTTTCTCTATTATTCCCCTCTCTCTCCCCCTCTCTCTCTCACTCTCCCATCCTATACTCTTTTCTATTTATATAGTGTTTCTTTCTCTCTCTCTCTCTCTCTCTCTCTCTCTCTCTCTCTCTCTCTTTCTCTCTCTCTATTTTCCTGTCTCTATTTGCTCTCTCTCTCTCAATTCCACAGGTAAATAAATTTAAAATAAATTGGAGAAAGTTAATGACTTAAAATGTAATTTTTATTTACAGAATTTATACCCAATAACATGTAATGGTGGAAAACAATAAATATACAAGGGAATTCTTTGTCCAGTCTTTGAAGGGTTTGACATTCATAACTGTGCTTCACAAAGTTAGGATAAAATGACATTCATCTAAATGCTGGAAATGCTTTATTTTCAATTACTTACGAGTTTTAATTCAGTATCTTGATGTAAGAGAGTTCAAAAGAGTGATCCTGATTCCAAAACAAATATGACATATGAATAAAGCAAGAAAATAGAATTACAATAAAGCTTGTGGTATCTTTCTTTGATTAAAAATGTTGCAATCCTAACCATGGTAACTAGAAATCATATCATCTTGTTTTCATTCTTTTTGCCAAACAAGTCTCAAGACAGGGGTAGAAATAAGAGTTAAACAACAATTTTTATTATTAACAGTAAAACAAATGAAAAATGTCATTGTGTGTTGACATAATAAAACATTAATGCACAAAGTAAAATGGGCACGGTCCATTGCCAAGTGTGAATTCCTTGTGAGGGGTGATGATGCGATCACTATGGAGGATAACTGGTAACCACGGCAACCACTTTTGTTGAAACAAGACGCAGTGGTAACTTTGTGGCTCTGAAGGCATGTTTCCACTATTGAAAAACAATGTTTATAAAATGTGTCCTTTTTCAGTTCCTTAGCAGGAGTGATCGAGTGAGGATTCTATTCAGCCTCTTCCGTTTCCTCGGCAACGGGTGATACGGGCGCTTGCTCCTCCCCTCCTTCTGCTGGCTCCTCCGTCTGCTCCTGTGTCTCCCCGTCTCCCTCGGCAGCAGGAGCAGCATCTCCTTCTCCCTCTGCTGCCGGTGCAGCTCCGTCACCTTCTGCTGCTTGCTCTGTTGAATAGGAACATTTGGAGAACGCACGTTATAATTAAAACACTTTCAAAATAATAAAGAAATGTTAGAAATAAGAGAGCATACTCCACTGACATAATTAATGTTGTTTTCAACAATATTTATCAAGTCTGACATATCAATAAATTATGCTTGCTCTGTTGAATAGGCATTATAAAAACAATATCAAAATAATGAAAAGAATTGTAAAAATATGAAAGCATGCTTCGTTGAAAGAATTATTGTTGTTTTCAAAAATCATCTTTAAATCTGACATATCAATAAATAAATGTATGTTGATAGGACAATGTTACGTGAATTTTTGTTTGTTTGTTGAAGAGGGATTTATTTAAAATGGAGAAAAAAAACTGGGACAAGAATCTAATATGAATTCAATCATGTACTTGTAATTCTTAATCTAAATTCTTTTGTATGCACCAAAGTAGAATGCTTTAGTAAAATAACTGAAATGAAAACATGAATAAATGAACAGAAATTCTGAAACAAATTTTATCAAGTACAAATTAAGAACCTACCTCCTTCTCCTCCTTCCGCCGCTGGCTCTGCTCCCTCCCCGGCTGCTTCATCTCCCTCGGCTCCTTCTGCTCCTTCCTCCCCCTCAGCCTGCTCCCCTTCCTCAGCCTGCTGCTGGGCAGCTATGGCTTCCTCGGCGGGGTTGTACTGGCTGACGGCCTGGATGGCCCCCGCCCTCCACTTGGGTACTGTGACGGTCTGGGCCTCCTCTTCTTCTTGGTCTCCACTCAGGGGTTGCTCGACGGGGACGTACTGGCCGTGCTGCTCGCAGCCGATGTCGAAGACGTACTTGCCCTTGCCTTGGGGCTATTGCCAACAACAAAGAAAATCGAAATTGAAAACTGGGTTAAGGTTTCCTCAGGAATTGTTTTTTCATCAAGTAATGTAATCTATAGACAAGAGATTGCCAAACAGGTCAAACAGTTAAATACATGTATGGTGTCATCAAAAGAAGTAATCTTCATGGGTTGCTTCAATTTTGTAAATGGACATATCCCTGATCTTGTGGTTGCAAACACTCAAATGTATTCAAACAATGATGACTAAAGTTTAACAACAAAATAATTCAATTATCTCGAGACCTACCTGATCAGCCACCCACATTCCCTGGTATCTGTGGTTGGCGTGGATGAGTTCACCGGCCCCTTCCCTCTTGCCGCTGACCCATGACCCCACGTATTTTGAACCTGTGTCCTTGTAGGTGTAGACGCCCTGCCCGTGCCTCAAGTGGCTCTGCCATTCACCCTCGTACATGTCACCGTTAGGGTAAGTGTAGACTCCGTAGCCGTGTCTCTGGTCGTCAACCCAGCTCCCTGGAAAATGAAATGGAGACTGAATATTATTCATATTCATATTCAAGGAGGGACTCTTACTCATGAATGATTCATATTAGGGTTGTAAATTCATGAATAATCAACAGTACGTACAAGGATGAATAATTCAAACATGTGATGCTAGGGGTAGATTATACTTCCGTCTTTGGTCTTACTTACTGGAATCAAATATTACATGAATATTTAAATGCAATTTAGTTTAGCTCATGAATAATTTAGATCAGGATTTCGATCTGATGAATAATAGTAAATTCAGGGAAAAAAGAAGGTTACAACAAATAAAATAAAACATGTGAAGTGATCATCTTTAACCCATTTACCGGAACCTACATTTTGGAATATTCTTCAATATTCATCATTGACACATTAGACTGAAAGAAAAAATCTATCAGAAATCAAAGTACCGGTATACAGTTAAAGCGAAAACTGGCAATAAACAATCCAATCATTCCCACTAATTGTAAATCAGATCGTTCTATTATTCAATAATGGTATGTTGTTATTTTGTTTATTTGTTTTCCAAACACAAAGAGACTTTTTAGATTCATGTTTTGTCAGGTGAATAAATGGTTGTTAAGCCAAATACCAATCGCAGAAGTGAAAAGAAACTTTATTTATTCTGCTTTTTATACATTTCTTTACTTATCACAACAATTATTAAAATGTCACTCAATGATAGGGACATTACGCTTTGCTTACCTTCATATATTGAGCCATCGGGATAGATGAACTTCCCTGAACCATGTTTCTTGTTCTGTTTGTAGTCACCAATATATCTTGCTCCATTCTTGAATTTGTACACACCCTATACCAAACAAAGAAGAAGAAAAAAAAAAAGGGGGGGGGGTAATTAATTAGTTGGACAGACTGTCTAGTTTGAAGAAGAAGAAGAAGAAGAAGAAGAAGAAGAAGAAGAAGAAGATGACGAAGAAGGAGAAGAAGAAGTAGAAGAAGAAGAAGAAGAAAAAGAAGAAGAGATGGAAGAAGAAGAAAAGAGAAGAGAAGAGAAGAAAAAGAAGAAGAAGAAGAAGAAGAAGAAGAAGAAGAAAAAGAAGAAAAAGAAGAAAAAGAAGAAGAAGAAGAAGATGAAGAAAAAGACGAAGATGAAGAAGAAGAAGAGAGGGAAGAAGAAGAAGAAGAGATGTATAGTTGACATAATAATATATAATTCAAATATTGCAAGTAAACTATGAATTATACACTTATTTTTCTTATTCTTGAATCGAGTAGAAAATTATTTATTCATCAATACCATTTCACAAAAGCGTAAAACACTAAAGGGTACTGTCATTTCAAAATGACTGCATGGCAAAAGTTAGTAAAAAGCAATCTTCACCTGCTAAAGATAAAAATTATCAAAGCATGAAGCTTACCCCTCCATGGCGTTTTCCATGCTCATACGACCCATCGTACATGTCACCATTTGGCAGCGTTGCTTTCCCTTTGCCATGACGCTCCTCTTTGGCATTCCTTTCTCCTTCATATTCCTGCAAAAAAACAAAAAGAAAACATATTGTAAGAAACCTGTTGTATACCACTTGATATTGGTATATTTATCACATAGTCTACCAAGAATATACTGAGTAGACACTCTATAGATCTACCACTATGGAGAAATTGACAGACTTTCAACATTCTGGTAGTAAAGTACAGACAAAAAGAAAGATTCATCTTTAAATAATTGGTTTAGAAACTACCTTGAGAATTTTTATGAGGACTAGAAATGTAAATTCTTGACATCAAGCCAAAGTATTGTACAATTTGAGTGCAGTAATGGGATAGGTGGGCATTCTGATAGGCAATATCAAATTTAAAAAATGCCAGCATAGACATAGTCAGAGTAGAGTCTAGGCTTAGGCCGATGAAAGTTGATCTCATGGTTCTCGTCAGCGCCCGCATCAAATTTTGCTCGCGTACCACAAAAGTTCAAAACTCATCGCTGACGAAATTCCCGCGTCAAAAAGTCCAGATATGAAATTGCCGCCTCAAAAAATCAACAATATTTTCGATTGGCTGCCGCGTGTGGCCCATGTGACACGCGTCCATGGCGATGTCTGCCAAGTCGATCGCTGATTCGTCTAAAGTAGCGGGCGGCATAATATGCCGTCCGCTACTTTAGCTGCCTATCGCGTAGGCCAGGAATAGTCTGCGGCTAGACACGGGGCGAATGTTTTGCCTCACGCCGTACTCCGGCTTCCCGCTACCGTACCAGGTGGGAGCTAACGCGTATTAAACTGTTCAGTGCATTGTGTACGTTGCCCAATATACTAGCTCAGGACAGCAATTCATCTGTACTATTTATCGATCGCTTTTGGCTGCACTGTCAGTCAAAATGATTCTTTCACTTTGTGTGACTCAGGGCAGCAGATTTGAGCAAAAACTGTCAACACAGAAGTTATGACATTTTAAAGGTACTGTGTAAGAGTGTAGGAGAGTACAATACAAAAGTGCTAAGTTTAATGAGGTGAAATGGTAAAAGAATTGTCAGATAATAATTAGAAGAAAGTTAAGATACCTACTTACAATAAAAAGAATATGAAGGAAAGTACTTGTGAGAAGATAGAAGAAGAAGAACAAGAAGAAGAACAAGCAAGAAGAAAGAGCAGAAGAACAAATAATATGAAGCAGACTGAAGACAAACAAAGAAAGATGTATATCGCTATATCATCAAGTTCATAATTTAATACCAGTATAATAAAACAGGGCCTTAAGTTTAAGTCAGAAACGAGACAGTATAAATGAAAATGAAATGAAATGAAGATGGTGTCACAGAAACCCAAATATCACAGAAAATTTGGAAGAAATAGTCATTGGAGTATGATATTGGTGTAAGAGCGTTACATGTATAATGTACAAGACTCGATACCCTCGACAAGTTCTATTGGTTTGTATATGAAAGATGAATTTGGATCAAAATCCCTCATTCAAATTCAAAATATGCCCGCGAGAACATGAAATCAAAGTCAGATGAAAGATGAAAGTTGATCTAAATCCCTCATCAAAATCTCAACAAGGCCTGACGAGAACCATGAGATCAACTTTCATCGGCCTTAGTAAGTAGGCTACTAATACTAGTCTACTAATGAGTGTCTACTGTCTTGGTCTAACTCTCAGTATTTCTGCCATCCTCTTTCTCATCGCAAAGGCCAGGGTTTACCTGATGAAAGCATTGTGGGCATTTAAATCTTGCTGCAAATATATCAATTTCTTTTGAATTTTAATACACAGCCCGATAAACATTCTTCTTCTCAATCTCACTTTCAGTTCTTCTTCTTCTCTTCTCCAGATGTGCAGACCCGACTCGAGTCCTCCTGCTTGAGTCCTTCTTCTTCTTCTCCTCCCGGGTCGCCTTCTTCATCTTCTTCGGGAGTATTTCTCCAGCTTCTTCTTCTTCTTCTCCTCCTATTCCATCTTCTTCCCCTTATTTTTTCTTATCCTCTGTTGATTGTCGAATATCAACAGACAACGCACTCATCTCAAAGATCCATCATCAACAAAGACTTAGCCGACACTAAATTGAACGTATGGGACCGCACCATTTGCAAAAATTAGCAAGCTTGCAACAAAATAACATGAAAACAGCTTTACAAATGTAAAAGTATGAAAATTACTTACTCCTAAATATGGGCCATGCTCTTCTTCATCATAATCTGAGCCTAGATCAGACATTTTGTGAGTTGATATGTGATAATATGACAAAATTTAAGACAGTATTATCGCTGGATCTCTCGTTCTTCAGGTGTTCCCGTTGCTATGCAAAGCTAATTGACGGTCGCGAAGGGAATGTGTTATTGTAAAAATGGGATCACTCATTTGAATTTGGCTTTCAGTTTTCCTTTTTTGATTATTATCTTACATAAATCAAATACATTTTAATTATTTAATGAAGAATAATATTTGAAAACATCGATTTTTATTCATATATAAAAAATAATTGTCTATTCCCATCATAAATTTTGTTACACACCCCTATTTGATTTTGGAACAATCTAAACCAAAACGATTATACATTGATTAGGCGGAGAGGGCGCTACGGAGAAAAATCTTTGAGCTCATTGGATTTTGCACATTTTAACCTGTCCAGTGGTGTAGGTAGAAAGGGGTACGGGGTGGGGGAGGTGGAGGGGGGGGGGGGAGGTGGAGGGGGAGGGTACATCCCCTAACGGCCTAGTCAATCGCCCCTCATATTTTGACCATTTAATAAAGTGTTTTTTCAATCAGGTTGTCATGAGAGTATTTTAATTACATTATTAAAATTGTATTTTGAAAAAGGCGTCAACTTTATGAAAACAAAGTATCGGAAACCGCAAAATGCCCAAATATATATTAAATATAACTTTAGGTATTTTGATCATTTTATATTATCGCCCCGTTTGCTCGCAACAATTCGAAACAGCATAGTTTCAGGCAGGCGCGTACGCAGGATTTTTTTCAAGGGGGGGGGGGGGGGGGAGTTAACATTTATAAATCGGTCCGAAAATTTCGCAACGACTCAGCCAGCCGCTGAATAAGCGGGGGGGGGGGGGGGGGGGGGGGGGTGGGGGGTGGGGGGGGGGGGGGGGGGGGGTAAGAGGAAACTTTTTTTTTTTTTTTTGGTCTCGAAATTTGGAAATTTGACATTTTGCTCAGTTGGGGGGGGGGGGGGGTAAGGTCACCTTTTTTAGGTCGGCCGTACGTGGGCATAATTTCATTTTTTTTTTTTTTTATTTATTTTTTTTTTTTTTGCGTAAGCGCCTGGTTTCAGGCAGCCAGGCCCGTGTATATTTTCACGAAGTGACGGTAGTGAATGAAAATCGCATACAATTTGCGTGCGGATTTTCCTCACTACCGTCATTTCGTGAAAACAGGAACGAATTATGATGATGTTCGGGCACCTCGCTGTCCGAATAATAGCATGATTCGGGCAGCGTGGCGCCCGAATATAATAACCTTATTTGTATATCGAAATGAAAATGTAAACCACAATCTAGCGTCTGTTTCCCTCTCGTTCGCTTCACTTCTTGCAACATATATACAAAAAGATGATTCCTGGCAACAATAAGGTGACGGAACATATAATTTTACATTTTATTTGTATATTGATAAATAAATAATATTCATGCCATAATACAAGTTTTCGCTTGCTCGCTTTGTTTGGTATCCGAGTAATACATTTTAGGGCAAGAGGCCCTCACGGCCTCAACGCGAAAACGGTCAGTTCGTCTATGTGTACATGTACATACCACAAAATTGGAAAACACAGAACTCGAAAATATCAGAACTGGAAAATATGTTCCAGTTTTGTGATAGTACGAGGGATGGAAAACAAATCCTCTTTGATAAATTTTAGATTGAGGGGACTCGAAACTTTTTAACTCCTAAAAGGGTGCCGTGACTACAAAAAGAGTTGAGAAATGCTGATCTAATAGACTAAAAACTAGTGCCCCCTTGATTTCTGACTGAGCCCACGCTACGCTGCATGCTTGTATTTAACGATGGCTTAGATCTTTGTCTGCTCCCCCACTCTCATTTTCCTTTATATTACAAAGTACATTAAACTTGGCAAAAAATCACGGGTACGATAATTGTTATTTAATAATACAATAATGTACATATTGTTTTGTATATAATCAATAAAGACAGACTTTTACATATAGGATATATTTTAACAGAGGTCAAAGTTGATGTTCCTTCCAAAAGGGTTGGCACTTGACAGCTACGTTCGAAATGATGAAGTTGGTGGTCTCATAATGTTTTCCATTTTATTGTAAATGTTATGATTTTCATCCATCAAATCCCCAATTTTTACTATTAATAATAATATCAATGTAAGTTTATATTATGTATGGTCTCTAAACAAGTTTCATCCTTGAGATTGTTCATATTAATATTGAGAGAATCGTATAGGCTTTATACTATTTTATACGGGTATCGGCCTATATTTTTTCTCCTCATCTTTTTTTTTTAACTTCTTGTTCTTGTTTTTGTCTTGTTGTTGTTCTTCTTTTACTACTACTACTTCTTCTTCTTCTTCTTCTTCTCCTCCTCCCCCTTCCTGCTCTATTTTCCTTTTTCTTCTCTTACTTCTTCTTCTTCTTCTTCTTCTTCTTCTTCTTCTTCTTCTTCTTCTTCTTCTTCTTCACTTTTTAGTTTTTTTCTCTCCAATCTGTTGATTCTTAATTCGTCTTTATCCGTTCCTTCTTCCTAGAATGCTTTCTGCTGTAATTATATAGATTATAAATAGAATAGTAAATAGGGGCTTAACAGTTGGTTTCAAATGTTGTGCTCCTAATAATATTCTAAGAAACATAGGGCCTATATAGGGGACAGGAAAGACTCCTCTGGAAATTGCATACAAAATATATACAAGAGCTTTCATTAAATATTGCAACCATCGAATAATAAGAGGGAGAGAGATTTTAGGGATGGAGGGAGGAAGTGATCGAGGGAAAGAGAGAGAGAGAGAGAGAGAGAGAGAGAGAAAGAGGGGGGGGGGGGGGGAAGGAAGGGACACACAGAGAGAGATTTTGATTTTTTTAAAATGTCTAAATCCACCTGGAAGCTGATGACTTATATGGAATGCATAAAAACATAGCGAGAGAAAGAGATATAGATAGGAAGAGAGAGAGAGAGAGAGAGAGAGAGAGAGAGAGAGTATTTGGACGCTGTGGGGAGACATTCCACAGCAGAAAAATATTACTTGTAACAAAATCAATTAATAGTTATCGCACAATAAAGCCTTATTATAGCTGTCAGTAGTTAGAACTATTTTTCAAAAATGATAAATTAAAGCAGAAAGGGACTCGATTTATAGATGGGAGAAGAGATTAAGAGAGGGGTGACGTTAGGTGTTTTATTCTTTTTTTTTTCTTTCGGGGGAGGGGGGGGGGGGCGGGTGCACTCACTCACCAGGACCCATGCACCTGATTTTGTACACATCTGGCATAACGCCTTTGAGGGCCCATCCCCTTTTTATGATGACGATGATGATTATTATATAATATGTTTATACAATATACATTGTGTATAAAAAAAATGATCATCCGTACGTACAAGTAACAATTGTTTCGAAAATCGAAATCCAAGCAGAAGTCTATAATTATGTTCATAATATGTTGCTTATCATCTACGAAAATTTGTCCCCCCCCCCCCTCATTCAACTATAAAATCCTTGATTGATCTGCGTCTGCTAAAATAAGGAGATGATAAGTAAGAACTATATTTATTGTAGTTCTCTAGCTTGTCTAGGTAAATACAAGAATTGAAAGTAAATATTGTATTGGGCTACTTGTCCATTCAGAATTTTGTAGGGATTCAAAGTACACACTGATCATACAAAATTAATGTGGTAGTTGTATTTACATAAAAAGACACTCCCTTCGTTGCTTGATTTGTGAGCATTATACTTAGTACAGGCATAGACCTAGGTCTATGGTACAGGCGATAATAGGTAGCGAACAATAGCCGAGACCACACACATATCCGTAACACTCGGTACCCTACCCAGCTAGCGATAGAGCACGTACTCATCTGTTGCTAAGCAATCGAACGCGAGCTGCCACCCAAGGCATTACATCACCGCTCCGTATATCGTACACCGGAGGAGCGGCGCGCGCCCGGTCGACAATACGTTGAAAATATAGATTTTGTGTTGCGCATAGCTCTGCGCAATGCAAGCTACTAAATATTCAATTGCAAAATAAATTAGTTCAGTGCGAAGCAAAATGGCGCAGTCCACAATAATGAATTGGAGCCTCACAGTAAAACATATTTCACTAATTCTTGCCGTATTAAGTTCATTTTTACAGAGTACATTATGCTTATATCAAGAAGGACAAATAGCTACTGATGATGTAAGTTGATAAGACAAATTTTCCCTTCTATTTGTTGTCATCTGCGTGTGTTTTTGTCTGACTCTGTCTGACTGAAAAGTGAGTGACTCTGACTGAGCCTGACTGAGACTGAATTGAGATTGAGGATTAGATGAATGACAGTGACACACTGACTGAACTTATAGCTGCAGTGCCAGTGCAGTGCAGTCACATATGAGATATGAATTATGATATGGAAATCACTTTGCCTTGTAAGTTGTAGGTCTAGACATTGATTACAAAAGACATTGCATGTCAAATGAATGCCCATGATCTGAAGAAAGTGAAACATTTCCTAAATTAATATCTAACTAGGTAGACCTAGGTCTAACTTAGAATCTAACAGTTAGACCTAGACTCTAGACCCAAAGTTAGACTCTAGATCTAACTTAGATCTAAGTTAGATTCTATGTTATGTGACCATAATCACTGACACTAGATCTAGGGGCGCTGGTCCGAGAATAAGGATCGTCTTCATAAACGAGGATCGTCTTCTTTAACACGGACAGATGCGTCCTCAAAAATAAGGACCGTCTGCGAAAATTTGTTTGTACAGAGACCTTGGCTTCACGTTATGAGCAATAAATCCTTGGGAAGACGGACAACCCATAAAAGTAGACGGTGAACTAGGGTTATTTCCCCCCGGGGAATCCATTTTTGGCATCGCCAGCGGGCCGTTCTGTAACATGAAACCCCCAGAGCGCCGATGAAAAAAACGTCCTCGAAAATGCAGACGACCCTTATTTTGAGGACGCATTTTGTCCTCGTTTATGAGGATTTCCTTGTTTATGAGGACGATCCTCATTCTCGGACCAGCGCCCCTACTGCTGAATCAGACATTGATTGATTTAAAATTAAATCTTGGCACCCCCCCCCCCCCCCAGAGCTACCAAGTGTCACGCATTATGCGTGACAGTCACGCAGAGACGCCAAGTTCAAAGATCGGCAATGCGTGACATTTTCATGATTCGGCGCGCAAGTGCGCGTGCGAGGATATAACACACGTATAAGGTATAGATCTAGCGTTTTTTCACAATCTAGTGCGCACATCGTGCGTAAGAGCATTTTCAGACCCTCGAAATGCGTGATGTCATGCCTAATGCTTGATACTTAGTAGCTCTGGTCACGCATCGAGGGTCTGAAGATGCTGTCACGCATCAATTGCTAGACTACGTTGCGCTTTGACCTTAACACAACGTACGCGACAACCAGATGCTGGTGATTGTACGTCACGGACAGATACAGATACAGGCCGACCGCCACGAGGCCTCAGCTAGCTCCTTGCAGGGCTTGTGTACATGCAGGCGGCCAGCTATCACGTCTTGTCATGCGCGCGTGTGCGATTTCGAAACGTACACTAGATCTATACGCTATACGTACCATATACCCTCGCCCCCGCACAGAGTCATGAAAATGTCATGCATAGCTGATCTTTGAGCTTGGCATCTCTGCCCCTCCCCCTAATAAAAGAAACCCAAATCATACAAACTGGGCACTTCGATGATGCGTAACCATAGGCAGTACTGGGTGCTGATCCGAGAACGAAGATCGTCCTAATATAGATACGATTACAAGGCTATCCTCGTAAAACGGGGACAAATCACGATTAAAAACAAAAAAAGTTTTTTTCTCTTCGTTTTACGGGTGTAGGGTTCCCGATGCTTGCGCTGGCAATGCAAAAAAAGGATTCTGCGTAATAAAATACCCCCAGTTCACTGTCTGTTTTTATGGGTTGTCCGTCTTCCCAAGGATTTATCGTTCATAACATGAAAGTCCCTGTGCAAAGTTAGTGTAAAATGTGGAAGGAGCATCAACATGGAATCTTTTTTTTGCATCCCCGGCGCGCGGATCGAAAATAAGAATCGTCCGTGAAAAATGCAGACTATCCTTTTTTTTAGGATGCGTCTGTCGGCGTTTACGAAGACGATCCTCATTTATGCGACGATCCTTATTCTCGGACAGGTGCCCCAACTGATAGGCGATTAAAGCAATGGCACATTATTTTTGGCTTTTTAGTTGTTTTATTTGGGCAAGAAAATGAATGGTGAAAAATTGCGTTCAAGGAAAAAAAAGTGTCTTCAATTTTATGTTGGTTTGTGTAACAGGCAAACATGTTTGCATTAGACTACTTGCTGGGGCTGACTGACAGTCCAAAATGTTTGCCTAATTACATGTACTGTACATGAAAGGCTAAGGCAATGCACATCTAATAGCTTGTCTAAATACATGTACAGTACAGTACATGCATGTCCAATTATCCAATATGCATTAATATGCAAGGAAGGTAAAGCTACATACACTGTACTCTACATGTAGGTATAGTAGATCTTATGAGAAAACTTATTATAGCAGACAAATGAATGATTTGCCATTAATTATTGAATATTAACAATTGCCTGAAGGCTGACCTTTTCAAAAAGTTTATATGGTTAGCATTAAAACAAAATGACTTGCAATAGCCATTGTCGTGGAAAGGTTATACATTTTGAATAGCATACAATGTATTCTCCCATTTTTCTCTTATCTACAGAATTGGATATTTTTAGCCAGATTTTGTTTTCTGTCAGACATTGGCAGATTACGATTTGAAGTCCAATATCCCCAGGTAAGAAAAACTTATTTACTCTAGAAGATTCATTTCTTTTTTGGTTTGTTTGTTGTTTTGCCACCATGATTTAGCCAGTTAACAACTTTATGGTTTATGTTCTGAATATAATTTCAGTTACGATGTCCATAATTACTTTGTTCATGTTTTATCAGTCACAGGCCAAAAAAGCATCTTGATATAAATGGAACTAAGAACCTGAAACAAGATGTATATTTCCCCAAAATTATTGTTGATGTTGTTGCTGTTGTTATTATTATTGATGTCATCATTATTATCATTATAATATGATAGTTAAAAATTAGTGCAGTGCCCTCGTGTACTTGATTTCTTATGTATTTACTGCCATGCTATTTTCAAACAAAAATTTGAAGTATTTGCTAGTAATATAGTAGTACCTGTCAACCCGATACTTAATTGACATCAAATATTTTCTTTTTCTCTCATCCAGTCCTTTCAAACCCAGAACCTTATACTATACTACGACGAGCCAGATCAATGGCCGTCGGTCTACCCGTTAGATACAGCACCGTTACAGGTAAGTCCAATTGCTTTCTGATGTCTTTCAACTTCATCATCAACTCATCCTGTTTGTTGCCAAAAATAATAAGAAATGCAGTACAAGAGTTATTTTTCTTGATGGTAACCAGCTGATACATGTCTGACGTATAAAGCTCTATTAAATCTGTGAACTTGATGGAATCACAGAGAACACCAAAAATTAATCATGATTTTGGTAAAATTTACTATGTATGGGGGCATTTATCATCATTGTATTGTGGTGTGTGTGTGTAGTAGACGGTGTGCCCACCTACATTGTACATGCTGATATATTTAAAACTAATATTGCTCCTGATATTATCATTGTTATTGTTTATTTAATCATTACCAGTATTACATTTTCTAAGTTAGTTTCATTATTTCTTCCCGCAGACATGCCTTGAGAAAGAATCCGTCTTGAAACCAGAGAACCACCAAGTGGTGAACCTCACCACCAGCTACGTATGGTCAGGATGTGCCCTCCTGGAAACCGAGAGCACCAGTGACTGGAGACGGCTCTTTGGTGACACGCACTACTTTGACTGCAAGGGTGGACGCAGCTTCCGCTCCGTCAGGGACAGGTGGTGGTATATCGTCATCTCAAACTGCAACGCTGGGCAGGTAAGACCTCCGATGGTTCTTGGCTCTTGCCAGTTTTTAGAATAAAAAAGAACGGTAAGCGTTTTGGAAGCGCAAAGGGACGTTATATACTGTGATATATTATATGCGCTATATATACAAGAACTGAATATAAGGTGCCTCTGAAATCTTTGAGAAATGTCCTGCAATACAGGTGGTTCCATGTCGTGTCTAGTGAACTGCAGCACTTGACAGGTAGGATCAGAAAGGGTTCTTGCCCTAGCTAGTACTTTTGCTACTGCTGCAATTTATTTCATCAAAGATTTTAGCTTAAAGCTTAGGGTTACGGATGCAATTGGATTTAGGATAACGTACATGTGCATGCACTAGGCCACAACAAATCTGGTATCGTTTTTACCGTTATTTTATGTGTTAAGTTGTGTACCAGTAAATTATTTTTTAATTTAATTCAACTTTTCATATCTTCTTCAGGGGTGCTGATGAATTATAAGCTGACTATGACCAATGGAGAGGACTGGTGGTACAAGCATTTTTCTGCGGATCAGTTTGGTAAGTGTCACATAGAGTTACTTGTCAATGCCTTTAACCCATAGCAGTTACAGTAGTCCCCCAAAGAATCAAAAGTGTTTTGAATTGATGCAAAATTCATATCATTGCGAAGGGGAAGCCTTACTGATTAACTTCCCTCTTCAAATATGCAGTAATCATCTTTAAAAAAAAATTTTATTTTGAGATCCAGATTTTCTGCCTTCAGCGGTCCTCTGTAGAGCATCAAGATTTGAGATGTCACATGCGAGACACAGCTAGCCGCGAAGCATTTAACGCCTTTCCATGATATCTTTATGAATTTTCAGCAAATTATTCGTGTTTTTCAAGAGAAAAACTTTTCATCTATATATAACTTGTCTAAAATTATATGTTGTCTTGAATTTTCTTCGGAGGACTACTTTAAGGGTCAGCTTTTTATGATTTAAAAAAAAAAGAAATTTTTTGATCCAAAATGCTCTGAATTATAAATTGTACACCTGTACATGATGAGCAGAAAGTAGAATAATCACTTGGAAATATGAGTCTGTTTCTGTTGTGCCATTATTGGTGTATTTTTCTTACATTATGTGACAACATTGCTTTACAATTCAACAATTTCAATGCCTATTTAAAATGTTGTAGTACATATAAGTGGACACTTTTAATCTTCATTAATTCCTTATGTTTTCTCTATGAATTATTCGTCTTTTTGCTTACAGGTATCTTAGCAACTGACATTGCCTTTCTATTCTTGTTCATGGCCCTATTTGGATGCTCTGCCTACGTTGCAAGTAAGTGCATCCGCCTAATTATTTACCATGTACATTACATAGCTACCTAGTCTACATGTAAACTACTATGTTGATTTTTAGAAGTTTTTTTGATGATTTGTATTTTTTTATGTTACCTGCGCTGCATAACCTGCATTGACCTTTAATCAGGTCATATCCTGGGCTTTTCTTACTGTGCTCTCCTTTTCTTTGTATGCCTTTCACTGCGTCATAATGTATCTGTTCCTCTTTATTGCTGTAGTATCAATAAAGTGAAGTACCAACAATATGCTATAGTTTGTGACCCTCAATCATTGGATTCTGTCTGTTAAAGATACTACAGTATGTCCCTTTTGCAGCCAACATCAAATTCTGTAGAATTTCATAGGAATTATGAATATGTCATGTATGTCCTATCTGTGAAATTGAAACGTTAATATTCAAATTATGCAAGGAAACCCGTTTACTTGCTAGACTTCACTGTCAGACACTATTGAGTGACTGACTGGCTTTTTTTCTTCTTTGGTATTAAATAACATACATGTACAGTACATGTACATAAAATGAGCTGTAAAGGGTACATGAGCATTTGTCTACATCAATAACCCACTTCTTGTAATTGCCAAAATCAAACTGATTGCATCTTTGCGCAGCATAAAACGTACGACAATTTGGTACAATGGTCTGAAAATCAGACTTTTACTTACTGGCTCTATTGCTCTTAAGTCGATTCGACAACTAATAGTCGTTATTTTCCCCATTTAAAGACATTTTCAAGCCCCCTTCAGGCCTTAAATTTCAATATTTATAGGGCAAGGCCACTTTTCTGTCGGGCACATTCCTATATTACAGCACAAATAGGAAGAATTGGAAAGGGCACAAAAAATCTCCAAGGCCAATGAGAGAGGCATTGAGGCCACTCAAAGGGGCATCCACGGCCATGGCCTTGGATTAATTTAAGCCCTGCCCCTTTTTTTAGAGAAGTTCTAAATTAGTATTATCTTTCAAATGCCGTTGGAATTTAACCTTTTCATTTTTTTGACCTGCAAATGGGACATACCTGTAGTACCTTTAAAGGTAATCCAACCCTTGTAATAAATTCATGTATGCGAAGGCCAGGGGAAAAAAAATACACAGGGGCTTGGGGCGAATTAGCCCCTGAAATGCCCAAAAGAGCCCCCAAAGGTAAAAAAAAGCCCCCAAAATTTGCATAGAGTTCAATGCAAAAAAAATTATAGAGTGTTATTTTCATGCAAGCAAGCTTGAAAATTAGCCCCTAAAATGTTTAAATTAATTTTTTCCCTGGCGAAGGCAGAAAAACAAGAGAAGGAAGATACCATTTTAAGTTTGAAATAAATTTGACCATTGATGATAAGAAAGTTATGAATATTTGAAAAATGAAATCACTACGTCTGTGCCAATCTCAAATTGGCAATTTGGTCAGTGGATTGTGACGTAGTCAAGTACAACTACCCTTTTTGTTGTGTATGAAAATACCATTACTTTCTGTTTTTCTCCCAAGTGCCTCCTTCCTTGGGGCACTACTCAAAATATATTATGGGTAGCATTATCATTATAGGTCTTTGTTTTGTTCAATAGAAAGAATATGTGGTTTAACACTGACAGGTGGTCTTACTAGAGTAGGCCGGTGCTCACTAAAGCAGGCTTCAACCATAGCACACTGAGAAGAAAAAAAAACAACCTTCTATAGGATGTTTAGATTATTGAGCAAGAATCATCAAACACCAAACGGCAATAAAAAGATTTAATTCATGGTAGGGGGTCCTATACAACTACTTGATGAATGGGCATACACGCTTTGGCTTTCAGGCTACTTTGATGCTATAGCACGTACAATGACCACCTTTGAAATGGGCAGTGCGAAATACAGTTCAATTTTGTTTACATCAATTCCATTCCACTTCAAGGCCTCCCCTGTATTGGAAGTCCTATTAAACATGTGTACACACACTGAAATATTCAAATATTATATATTGAACTATATTGTATTGCAGTAAATGAATTGCCATTATCTCAATTGTCAGCATGGAATAGAATTCATTAAAATTCATGCTTTGTTCATGTATATTGCAAATGTCTATGACATTATAATGTACATGATGGTAGAGTTGCATGTACATGTACATGCAATTCAATTTAATTCATCCAGTACTACTTGATTAATGGGATCATATACATGTATGGTCACCTGCACTGCCCTACTGAATATTGCCATGGTGATAGAACACATCGATATGAACCAATGCATTTTAATATGCTCATAAATATGACGCTTACTGTACCTCTAGTCTGGATGGTGCCATTATAAAGGAGCCTGACCATTAAAACATGTTTTGTACTTTACCAGGGCCGCGTATTATAAAGAGTTATGATTGATCCTAAGTTTAATCAATACACAATGAGCCATACATGTAGACCTATGCTTAATATTAACCTCACAATAAATCAAAAGGCTTTATAATACATAGCCCCAATTTCTTAATTTATTGTATGTTGATTAAGGACATTTCATATCAATAGCTATTCTGTATGATATGGTTTTCACCCATGTACGATTATACATGTACTGCCAGGAGATTGACAGCCCATTGGGAGCCAATGGTACAATGTACTGTACATACACATGTCTTGCAAATTAAATTTGTGTCTTAAAGATATGAAAAGAATAGCCAAACAAGTCATATTAAGTTCTAAGAAACATGTGAAGTAATTGAAAGTAAACTAGTGCTGTAACGTCACGGATATCTCCAATTTCATTTAACCGCCAGTCAAAACCGGACGGTTTTCGGCTAAACGATTAAAAAAAAGGTGCAGGTGCAGTTGAAGGCGGCGATTTGTGCTTGTGAACTTGTCACAAATAATGTGATTTTTAGAAGAATGTGTAAGATCATTAATGTAAATTAAAAACTGTAGTAAACTACATATTGAGATCTATTACAAAGATTACTTTCAAACCAAGATGACAGACAAATTGGAGTGTTGTTCTAGTTTCGGAGTGGTGAGTCAACACACAGATTACTGAGCTGGGAGACATTGCCAGGCATAGCGGCAGGTGGAGGGGCATAAATCAAAACTTTAAAAAAAAAAAAAAAATATTAAAAAAAAAATTATTAAAAAAAAAATTATTAAAAAAAACAAAAAAACAAAACAAAAAAAAACCGGTAAACGAAAGCGTCCAATTGAAAACGGAATCCGCCATGGGCGGTCAGATACCGGATGGTTTAACGTTTGACTACAGCACTAAAGTAAACGACTAAGAAACATTCAAGTCTAATTGATGGGATTTAACCAGATTCTGATGTTTCCTACTGCACATTATACAGTTTCAATGGTGTACATGCACATGAGTATTTCCCAGGTATTCTCCAGTATATCCCAGTATTTCCCATCCAGGGGGGGGGGGGGGGGATACAGGCATCTCCCAGGAAACTGCAAACCCTGACTGTCACTAAAAAAAAGGTTTCAACTACATGTAGTATGTATATAGCACACTGAAAAATATAGGCTACCACAATGTGGTCCCGGCGTAAATTGTTAAGTAGGTCATGGAAGAATAGAGTCATTAATGAAATGGTTTTGAATCATCCTGTTGAAAAGGAAGCTTACAATAGTAGGCTTGCAGCAGAATAACCCAATAATCAGAATTTTCATTAGGGAGACCGTATTAAGTGCTTCTCAGATGGCACCAATAACAATAATGGGATGTTCAATTATTCACACTTTTTCATTAACTAGAGTATACCTTGCTATTTTTTTTTTAACAACGAGAGTCTAAACATAAAAATAATTTTTCTCAATTTGAGAAGGAAAATCTAATTCTTTAGACCTTTATAGAACTCTATATGTAGATGTTCAATTATTTACACTCTTTCATTTTCTATACATTTTTTTTAACAACGAGAGAGTCGAAAATACAATTAATTGTTCCCAATTCGAGGTGGAAAAGCTAATTTATTTAGACCTTTATAGAACTCTGAACTGCTATAGACGTTCAATTATTTACACTCTTTCATTGTTTTTATTTTTGTAGACAATGAAACAGTATAAACTTACAAATAATCGTTGCCAATTTGAGGAGGAAAAGCTAATTCACTTTGACCTTTGACCTTTATAGAACTCGGACTCAGCCGGGTTCTGTGTGGGCCCTATATATTCCTTGTGAGCTCGTACGGGTTCACCAACTACATGTAGTCTACTAATCAGTCATTTCATGTTAACAGAGATATTTAAATTTGTACAGTAGAAGTAACAATTGAAGCCCATTACAAAAATATAGTATAGTGCATGATGTCATAGAGAGCGAAATATTAGTTAATGATTGGTATACACTCTAAAGCTCCTCTGCACTACTTAAAGATAAACTTTAGTACTGGTAATGCGATTGAATTGTGAAAGAAAATGTGTGGAAAGGATCAGAAACAGTTGATCATGTATATAGCATGTAAGTATTGGTGTGCACTGCAAGGTTCTGGAGTCATCAAAATCATAATAAATTTGACCGAGTCTTGGTAAAGTAACAAGCACTCACATAGAAAGCTATATATGGGACAACACACATGGTGTCGGGGCTAGTACTACCTTGATTTCCTTGTCTTTCTATGCTCATTACTCAGCCAGTTTTCTTCCAAAATTGTTTGGCACATGTCATTTATTTGTAATCTTGAACATTCAGTGTAAGTTTCGTTTGATTCTCTGAGAATTTTTTTTTATTTTTTTTACCAGTACTGGAGTTTATCTTTAAAGCTACTTGCGCCCTCTATATACATGTAGCAAACAGGACCGTTGGTCCCCCATAGTCTTCTTTTTCTTATGTTGATAGAGCTGATATGATGAGATAGTTAACCACCTGTCAGTGACTATGCAGGGAGGTATGATCCCTCTTGGCCAAACTATTGCATATAGGCTTTAAATGAAAGTCTTTTTAATGTTAACGTTGAGTTCTGACAAACCCTTCAAGCTTCCGTACATGTACATTGTGGATGACATTATCGATAATTACGGAGGAGATAGAATAATGAATCAGTCGGTTCAAGGTCATTGAAGTACAGTAGCTTGCTAAGATTAATAAATTGGCTTAGAGCAATATTAGGCCTGTCTTCATCAGCTCGAGATTGCCAAATATCCCGCTATTTGAACTTTCCCGATAGCAAATTATCCAGTTAATTTGCGTTTACATCAGCCCGAAGGTTGCAATTAGCAGGATATTTGGTTGAGATAATCATCACAAGATATCTTGGGCTAGTTTGCAAAATATCCAGCTATTTGTCTGGTGCATCTTCACCAGCCCGAAGACTCACACTATCAGCGAACGCTGACCAAAATGTCTTGAGCTAATTTCTCGAGCTCGAGCTTGAGTTTCAAGTTTTATAGGTCAAGCAGGCCTGATAAAAACCCGATTTAAATTGGTTTCCCAATTATTTATTTTTTTCCCCAATTTTTTCCCGATTTTTTTCTTCTTCCTTTTTTTAATTTTTTAATTTTTTTTTTCTACCAGATTTTTTTCTTCATCCCTCTTTTATCCTGATTTTACTGATTTCCCTGTTATTTTCTCTAATCTTCTCTATTTTGCCCTATTTTTTTCTCCAATTTTCTTACTCGAAAGGGGGGAATGTTGTTAGATGCTATTTTTTCCCCGCGAATCCTCATCTCTTTTTTTTAGTCAAGGGGGGCGTGGTTGAGGGGAAAACAAAAAACCAATTTTTTTTAGTGCTCACTATACCCCTGAGGTCAAGTCTCGAGCTGATGAAGACAGGCCTATTGATGATTAATGGTTGAGGGCTCTGTTGACATGAAATACTCAAACAATGGTATTATGTTCCCCTGTTCAAATAGGTTTTCACTGAATTCACTCATGAGTTGCAATATAAAATGTAATGTCAATTTTAATAGTATTGAGGAATGATAATTATAATATTTCATGAGCTGTTTTCCTCTTGATGATCCAAATGCCTTTCATTATATTACCCCTCATAGAATGCATGTCCCTTTGTTGTTGATGCTTTATAGAACATCAAACCTCCTGCTGTTTTGAACCATTTCTAATGCATAATATTTCATGTCACTGATTATCTATTAATACTCCTTCAAAACCATTGAACAGATTGTACATGTAGCTATATAAATTTGGATCTATGAGGTTTAAGCATAAGATATTCATCGATCTACATGTAATAGTAATCTACAGTATGAACGGACAACTCAAATTTGTGTTTGCTACTTTTGCTTGTATAGCGCAGCTACTATGCAAATATACTCTGCTGTGCTTTAATACAAAGTATCATATCATTACCCCGGCTTTAGCTGAGCCGTCATACATGTAATAATTAGGCGCTAAAGCATTTCTTCCCATCTATTTATTATACTGTAGATCAAACAGTAATGTAAAAATGCTGCAATAGATGACAATGTTCCATTTCTTTGTATTCCCAATATTAATTGCCTATAAATAGGACTCCACACGTCCAGATTGTTTACATTCCATTCTGTTTGATGAGCCCATGTAAAATCTTCAAATTTGGAGGTCCAGACTTACATGTAGATTTTGGGCGGCCATGTGTCACGGGCACATGTATGTTAGTGTCGAGCTTTGCTGTATTCATAATTGCAATTTTTGTGTTTTTTCTCTCCAGTGATTCTGACGTCCAGGTCTCTTTTCCACACCACATATAAGATGTACATGTGTGTACTCTTCCTTTACAGTAAGTATTCATCTCTACTACTACTACTACTACTACTACTACTACTACTACTACTACTACTACTACTACTTCTTGTTCTTCGTCAAGTTCTCTGTTATTTTATTAGTCGTCTCCTTCATCTTTGTTTTCTTCTTTTTCTTCTTCTTTAGTTGTCGTCTTCTTTGTCGTCTTTTTCTTTTTCTTCTTTTCCTTCTTCTTCTTTTTTTCTTCTCCTTGTTGTTGCTGTTCTTCTCCTTCTCTCCTCCTCCTCCTCCTCCTCCTCCTCCTTCTCTCCTCCTCCTCCTCCTCCTCCTCCTCCTCTTTCTCCTTCTCCTCCTCCTCCTCCTCCTCCTCCTCCTTCTCCTCATCCTCATTCTCCTCCTCCTCCTCCTTCTCCTCCTCCTCCTCCTCCTCTTTCTCCTTCTCCTCCTCCTCCTCCTCCTTCTCCTCATCCTCATTCTCCTCCTCCTCCTCCTTCTCCTCCTCCTCCTCCTCCTCCTCCACCTCCTCCTCCTCCTCCTTCTCCTCCTCCTCCTCCTCCTCCTCCACCTCCACCTCCTCCTCCTCCTCCTCCTCCTCTTCCTCCTCCTCCTCCTCCTTTTCATCCTTCTCCTCCTCCTCCACCTCCTCCTCCTCCTCCTCCTCCTCCTCCTCCTCCTCCTCCTCCTTCTCCTCCTCCTCCTCTTCCTCCTCCTCCTCCTTCTTCTTCATCATCTTCCTCTTCCTTTTCATCTTCCTCCTTTATCATAACCATTCATTATGTGTATGCTCATATTGTGTTGCACACCATGTACATGTATCATCCATTAGAAGACAAATTCCTGGGATGTTCAATACATTTTATTCTTATACAAATGCGTTCTTACAGTCTTATGAAGGTATTTGTTAAAATATGAAATAAAGAACATAGAAGAAATAGAAGTGGGCATAAAAGGTTACATTTATTACGGGTAATAAAAGAGGAAAATAGCATGAGTGTTCTCTTTCTCAACTTTAAATGTTAGGTATGACAGGTCTACGTTGCTGAAACAGACTTATGGAGGCAATATTTTATTCAATTAAAATGGAACATGTATACATTAAAAAAAATAACGTATTAACAATAATGCTTAGTATCCTTAGCTAGAAACTTAGCTTCAATAATAACTCATTGAATATAATCCCATATTTTCGTCCTGTAGCCTGAGATAAATGCCCATCCCATTAATTCAGATGTTAATATAGGTTAAATATCTATTAAAAAAAATACACAGATGCATTTCAGTCAAACCTAAATGCCTCCCTCCCTTGAGGAATGTAAAATCCATATATTTTAACAAAAGCTAAACACATTTCTGAGTTCTGCAGCAATGATAGGTTATATTAGTGTAATAACTTGTAGTTCCAATCTAATGTGATTGAAAATAATTTATCAAGTCATTTATTTATCCTAATGTTCCCCCTTTTCCAGTTCTAAGCCTTGTTTTCTACATCATCTTCTACGCTGACTATGCAAATGACGGGACGGAGGTCCAGGGGTTAAAGTTCACGGCGCGGGCGTTCCAATCCGGAGCCGACGCCCTCTTTCTGCTGCAGTTGATCCTCATGGCAAAGGGATATACCATCACAAGGTGAAGTGTCAAACATGCTTTTGATTTAAACAAAATATTGTTATGATTATTATTATTACTTATTCTGCAAAAACAAAGAAAATCATTGAATACAAAACAAGAGTACATTTGGAAAAGAGTCACATTGTTGTATTGAATCATTCTTTTCATTTAATGGGGTAATTTAGCAAGGGGCAATCGACTCTCATTTAAAAAAATATATTGTATTCTATTTATTCTATTATTCCATTGCTTGTGTGTCCTATTGAAGAAGTTGAGTACTGGTCATGTGATTGCACTTTAAGTTTTATCCACACATTTTTTATGAATCAATTTGATTTACCAACAGCAATACAGTAACACATTTTATACAATGTGTTACATATACAAGAAGAGGAAATATTAGTTAGTAAAAGGGGCAAGATAATATCACAGGTGCTAACAGCCTAACCTCTTAAACAGCTAAACAAAGTATTTAGGTACAAATCAGTTTAGGAAACGAAACAAAACGAAAATAATGTAGACAACAAAATAATGTAGACAACAAAAATGAAGGAGGTAGATTCACCTCTAGTACACATTGCTCGTTTTGATTCAAACTCTTCATAATAGTTTAGAATGTTGATTATACCTTCATTATTTATTTCTTTTCAACATGTAATGTAATTTTTGTTTTCTTTTTTTTGCAGAGGTCGACTCAGCCACTCGGGCTCAGTAAAAATCACCATTCTTATGGCGATCTACTGCATGTTATATGCGGCACTTTTCATCTATGAAGTCTATGTAAGTATTTGAAGTTATTAACACTTCTGGATAAAAAACAGGACTTCTATATTATCATATTTCATGTTAACAATAAATTCACATCGTTTTGGGACAGAATGTTGATCGTTTTCTTTGGTAACTAGGACAAAACCTGAATCAATTTTGACCACACTTGTCTCAAGCTAGAATCATTATAAAATAATGAATGAATTAAACTTTGGGGCTCAAATTCAAGGGTCACAAGAGTATAAATTGTGTTTAAAAAAAAGAAGAAGAAATTAAATCTGAAAATTATCTTTGTATCATGTTACATTTAGAACAATTACAGGAATTAAAACTTCAGTTGGTATAAGTATGTAAAAGTGTGTGTGGATGAATAAAAAAGAATTTGTGTTTGAGTTAAGATGTCAGAAGTCACAAGCTAATTTATCAAGTAAACATAGGCGGAGCCATATTGAAGACAGGCTTTCTACAGTTAATTTAGATCAATCAAAGCATAGTCTTTGATGTCTGAGCCGGGATGTAAAATTCTATCATATTTTTTCTAGTTATGTAAATGTAAAGTTATACAAACATAAATGTAATACAGTCAAACCTAGTTATACAAACATAAATGTAATACAGTCAAACCTGCTTTAGTGACCACCTGTCTACAAAGACCACCTGCCTACAAAGACCACATTTTTGGTTTCCCTCAAAAAGATTTTTTATTGAAACATGTAATGAAGGAACCTGTTAACAAATTCAACCTGTCTACAAAGTCCACCTGTCTACAAAGACCACCTGCCTACAAAGACCACATTTTTTAGTCTCCCTTGAAAAAGGTTTCTTATTGAAAAATGTACTGAAGGAACCTGTCTTCAAAGACCACTTTTTGTGTTTCCCTTGGGCGGTTGCTACATACAGGTTTGACTGTACATGTAACACATGACAATCTTTATGGAGCGCACAAATGTAAAAATATATATTTTTTTATTTCTTGAAGGCCTTTGATGAAGGTGAGGTGTTATACCTGTACGAGAGCCCTGCAGGGTACGTCTTGGTGGCGTTGAGGGCTCTCACCTGGCTGTGGTTTATCTACGCTATCTTCTTCACGCTGAAGCACTACCCCGAGAAGAACTCCTTCTATATACCTTTCTTCTTCTGCTACACGCTTTGGTAAGTAAAATGTTTTTGCTATATTTTTACGAGAAGACACAATGAATGTAAGTGTTTGTTGTTCATGAGATGAATTTTAAGTGACATTCTTTTTGCCTGTGTTATCTCTTTTACATCGTTTAGTATTATATAGTTTTGAAGCAGTGCTGCTGATTTTCATTTTTCAGTTGAGTACCCTTATTGACTGTCATTGAATGCCACATTTTTTGTCAATATCTATGTCAATTTATCATTAATTGTGTCATTTATATTAGTTTCATTGACACCCCTTGTATTGTCTAATTGCATAGCCTTGCCATATCAACTAACTCACATTTGTCATTAAAGCACCGTGTATGTTGTTTAATAGTGTCTTGCAACATTTGTCACTGAAAATGTCATTCAGAACTTTGTACTCTGTGGCAGGTTCGCAATGCCTATCATGAATTAAAAAGGGCAACTTTACTGATGAAGAGAAGGCCATTAATGCTGTTCAGCTCATGTAAATGTGTCATGGAGTATGACACTGACAATGCCATTGTCAATGTCCTTCAACTTTTGTGATTGAGAATGCCATTGACAACCTTTTACTCTGTGGCTGGCTCGCGATGCCTATCGTGAATCAAATGTAGCAACATTGATGATGAAGAGAAGGCCATGCATGCTGTTTAGCTTATGTAAATGTGTCTTCGTCAGTGTCATTGTCATTGTCAGTGTCATTGTCATGTCCTTCAACATTTGTCATTGAGAATGACATTGACAGCCTTTTACTCTGACAGGTTCGCGCGATGCCTATCATGAATTAAAAAGGGCAACCTTAGTGAACCTTGGGTGACGGGGAGAAGGTCATATAACTGCTATTAAGCTCATGTAAATGTGTCATTGTCAGTGTCATTGTCAGTGTCATTGTCATGTCCTTCAACATTTGTCATTGAGAATGACATTGACAACCTGTATTGATTTGTACTATGTACAGGTTCCTTGCGATGCCCATCATGACAATTATAGCAACCTTGGTGATGCCGAAATGGTGGAGAGAAAAGGCCATGAACGCCATCGAGCTCATCATTGCCTTTGTAGCTCAATTGGGCTTTTTGGTAAGTTAAACTAGATTAAAACAAAATATTCCATGGTTAATGGCAAGATCATTGCTGGCATTAAGAGGATTGATGTAGTGTTTGAGTTTGGATTCACACAGAAAGAAAAAAAAAAAAAAAAAAATTAAAAAAAAAAAAAAAAAAAAAAAAATCATATTTTGATACAGTGTAATTTAATAGTGACACATTTTAAATTATGATGAATCGTTGATAACTGCACATTGATGTCTGCATATGTAGTTTTTCACAATCCTAAAGATTTTGTACCAATTTATAGTGTTTTTGTGAGTAATTACAATTAGAAACCCCTCTCTCTAAAAAAAAAGAGAAAGAAATTTGAGAATAAGTGAAAAAAGAGTACAGAATATTGCCACAAATTATCAAAGTTTCCCCACAATGAAACCAACCTCAGATGATTATGTGATTTCTGAGTTATTTAGAAAATAAAGCTGGAATTACCAAGTGCAGGTGATGGATGATAACTTTCTTAAAATATGGAAATTATAATGCCAAATTGCATTTTCCATATCTTTTATTGACGAGATAGGTTCAATGACTGTGATTCATTGCAAAGACATTAATCTAGACCATAGCCACTCTCCACCCAGGTGATGTAATCGGGTACCCAGTTGGAAAAAATACCTTGAAATTTGAAGCGCATTATCAAGGTATCTCAGCTTACTTCAGGTATTAGTAGTAACGCATTTAGAAACATTAAAATTTAGTGTTATTATTATTATTACAGTCAAACCTGCTTTAGTGACCACCTGTCTACAAGGACCACATATTTTGTTTCCCTTGAAAATGGTTTCTCATTGAAACATGTATTAAAGGAACCTGTCTACAAAGACCACTTTTTGTGTTTCACTTGGGCAGTTGCTATAGACAGGTTTGACTGTATTATCTTTATCTTATGTCTGTATTTGAAAAACAAACAAACAAACAATGAATGATTCACGGTATACATCTTATTCACCTTCTGTGTAGATTCTCACGAGGCCTTCCGCAGCCAATCACAACTTCCCGTACCACGTCCGAACCTCCCAGGTGGGCGTGATCGACGTCCCTGACGGACAGGTCCAGAACAATCCTGATGCGTACCAGCACCATGGGTACGCCGCCAACAACGTGTTCCAGGTCGATCATCAGCCGAACTTCACCGAGCTGTTCACCGTCGGGCAACCTAATAAGTACGCTCAGAACCAGCAGCCCAACGGCAACACGAACGGAACGGTTAACGGCTCGTCAAATGGAGCTGTAAGTACTTGTATTCTTATAAATTTGCTTTTTTTCCCATTCATTTAGTCCATTAAGTCTTTTAGTCCTAAATTGATTTGCTTTCTTCTTCAAATTGGCAATTTCATTTTTTGATTGCTAACTTTTGGTGATACGATGATGATTGTTCCAGGCTTTCTTTCATCAAAGAAACAGGGTTATAATTAATGTTGCAGTTTGGTTCAAAGTTGAAATTAGAAATGCAGTTATCGTAGGAAATTTACCATGGAGCAATTGTTGCCAAGCATGTATTGTAGAAGCCTTTACAAAAAATGAATGTTGTAAAGTTGGGAAGAAAATACACTTCCATGGACATACATGCTGTTGATAAGTACAACATTACAAATTGTCATTGAAAAGCATTCATTTTATTTCTCTCACATGATCCTGATATGTGAATTTGAATGGTCCTTTTACTTCTAGACTTCCCTTGTGTATAAAGATATTCAGATGTTTGTTACAAGCTAGTGAAATCCTTGCTTCTGATTGGTTACTAGTAGATTTGTTACTGAGTTTTGTCATTTGTCATCGCAAAAAAGGCTTTGTTAAACGGGTCCCTGGTTGTCCATCCCCTCTGACTTGCCATCCATCTACGCTTAGAAAAATCTGCCACAGTTTATTGCATCCTGAACAAACGAGCCATTAACCTTTTGACTACTGGAGTCTTTCACTGCCATATATGCTTAATACATGGACCACTCGGTTCTAGAAGGCAATGGGCTTACATTCGTGTTTTCCTTCATCCTTTGAACAGAGCCATTTACCTCAGAGGGATGTATCCAGCATGTTCGCGGCCAAATAGGTGAGTTTTCAACATTTGCTGTATGGTCTAGATATGGTATAAGTTGTCCTTATTTCAGAAGAAAATAAAAGAAGGTTCATTTGAGTTATCCAGGTCCTCTGCCAGAAGAAGAGAAACTCTTTCCTCGTCGACTGGCTAGAGGTAAAGTCACAAATGCAATAACATGCAGTTAAATATACAGGAACAGAAGACAAATAAACTGGAAAAAATAAACGATAAAATAAGAATAACGACAATGACATGTCACATTTGAGACAATAACATAATATTTCAATATCCTACCAGAATTTACAGATCTTCAATTAATTATACCGTCTTCCTTTCCTTAATCCTCTGTTTCTCTTTCTCTCCGCAACTCTCTTCCCCTAAAGATGAAGAGTCCGCCGTGTGATTTTTGAAACGATACATCTCCGCCTTGGAAGAAAGTTGAAGTATGATCAAAGTGAGTTAGAAGTTGAAAGCAACTACACATATGTCTGCCCTTTGCAGTCATTTCTCCATCTGACAGTAACTGCTATCGCAGTTATCTTCAATTGTTTTAATTTAGATCCACCATGTCTTTACATCACACATGTAAGCTTGACGTGTATTTTATAGTGATCACCTTAGGATCTTGTTTTTAAAAACATTGATATGTGTCCAATGAAATGTTACTTGATAGGGTTATTCCTTTGTAGTTTCTTTTAGGGGTTGTTCAGTTTCATATGTATTTGTGATAAAAAAATTGATATGTTTATGTAGATAAACATTAGAACATGAACCTCATAATACAGTGAAACTACATGTATAAAACTTAAGTGTGACAAAATGAAAGGAAACTTGTGCTTTGAATAGGCAGGTGTGGTCTTCATAGACGAGTTGCTTAAGTACAGGTTTCAATAGGAAGTGAATTTCTAGGGAAAAAACGATGTGGATGATCCTTCTGTACAGGTGGCTGTAAAAACCGGTTCACTGTAGAAAACCTGCTTTAACGACCACCTGTATAGAAAGACCACATTTTTTGTTTCCCTTGAAAATACTTTCTCATCGAAACATGTTTAAAGGAACCTGTACATAAAGACCACTTTCCTTGTCTCCCTTGGGTGGTCTTTATAGACAGGTTTCACTGTATAATGAATCATGCGTTAGCAAATAATCACTTAATGGTTTAAGCTGTTCGTATCTGAGAGAGAAGGAGAAAACAAGTCTTTCAGAATTGATAAGTACATTTATCTAAATTGATGTCTCTTTTAAAAAAATCTTGCTTTGCTGTGATATTATGCTTTTAATTATTTTTCGTCAGTCACCTTTTAGCAGTTCAGTTGACCCATTGCTATTGCAAATCTTTGAGTGATTTTTGCACTTTTTGTCCATGTACAATTTGTAATTCAGAGCATTCTGGATACAAAGATAAACATTAATCATCACTTAAAGGTGACACTCAAGCGCTATGAACTATTGTACTATTGAATAGAAACGTACATTGTACTAATGCTCGTGGGTCAATATTGATATTGTGCAAGAATGGTACACCAAAGACTTGAGGGTTGACCTCTAACCCCAATCAAAAGTACTGAAGTCAGTTTTTCTTTGGCGTTTAAGTAATATTCAAAAAAGTTATCCTTTATGTATCTCAAAATACATGTATACTTTACAAATGAGTATGTTGAGTTGTATTTATCTGTATTCATGTACATATCAATACATTCAAATCACTTTACTTCAAATTTGTTATAATTGGACATAATGTAGTTGGCAAGGTACTTTGTTTGTGTTACATACAAATTTAAGACTCCGTGATATTTTCCATCTTTTTTGGTCACACACTATTAAGGATGATTTTTTCAATGAATTAGAAAATAATGTATCTTGTACTATTTCACCATAACAATTTACATGTAGTATGACATGTACATCTACCACCTTTAAATTTGACTAAAGAGGTTTTTGACACTATTGTGTTTAGTATTCATATTGTGGCATTTTTAGATATAAGATATTAAAAAGCCTCAACTTTTCTGACTTAGGCTGAAAAGGAAAGAGGCTTACATGTTTTTTTCACCTTGAACTACATTCCATCCAATAATTTAATACTTTGTATTTAAATTGTATTTATTAAGTGCGGTAATGTTAGGCTGATCGACGTAAACATTATGTATTCTGTTGTTTATTTCATCTTGGTACATTATGTGAATTCTTTCCATATGTTAACACCAAAATGTACATTCTTCTAATTGCCAGTTTATCTGGCCAATTTTGTGACAGAATATACTGTAAATCAGGAGCAGGTATTATAATTTCTAATGATTTTCAGCCTTTATACTAAATATTTAGAAGAAACTGAAGGTGAAATTGATTTCATACACAGATAGTTTTTCATTCCATTTCATAATTTCTATAAATATGTAAATGATGATTCCAATAGTAAAACACTGCATTTAGCTATTAATAATAATGACATTATCCAGTGAAAGTTGGCCGGCCTTTCCTTAACGCAAACCTCTCTGCAACAGGAGAGAAACATTATATGTTAAGCCTGGCTCAATTTCACCTCATCCATGTTTCCTGAGTTGCTAGTAGGTTACTTTCTGTATGATGCGAAAGAATAGTTCTGTAAAAACAACGAAAAAAAATTATCTATTCTCTTATAACACCTTGATATTCTGTCTTCTACTTTATGTAAATATTAATGTACATATATGTATAAATTTCTGAGTAATGATGATGATATAAATCTACACCCTAATACTTTGATATGCCTTAAAGTTGACAAGTATACATTATGATATATTATATAGGAGATGTATATTGAATGAGCAACATTATGATTATGCAAATAACACTGAACATGTAATTGTTTATTTCCAATTGCATTGCATATGTTTATATGCCTTGATTTCCCCTTTCTCTTCAATTACATTCAATACGGATTGAATTGGGGACAGATATTGTTTGTAATTTAGATTTTGACTGTATGCATTTGACTTAGCCTTTGTTTCTTCAACATTGATATTGAAAATAACATGGGATTTATACTCGAGTGTACCTGTATTGATTACAAGAAAAATAGATTTTAAGATAATATAGTTCATGTAATTCAGATTTCTATTTTCCTGTGTATCTATTTTTAAATTTCTTCCGTCCAAAATATATATTTTAGTTTCAAAGTACATATTCTTCATGTAGTGACATTTCTTGATAAAGAAATATTCATGTAGCACTTTGCAGAATGTTTTGTGATATTTAGTTATTTCACGTAATTGGTTAAGATTTTTTTCTCTTCAAAGTACAAGTTTTCACATCATTCCTTCAAAATAGAGACATTTCTCTATGATTAATAATAGGGAAATACTATAAAAAAAATCTTTTCCAACGGAAGTATTCACTCCACCAACTTTTTGTTTCTAGCCTGAAAATGTGAAGGAAGAAGCAAGATATTCTACCGCAGTCTTTCGAATCATTTATATTTAAAATCTATATCTCTGTATTCCATTGTTATCGTGTCATACATTCTCTTATGTCTAAAGAAAAAGAAATTATATTAAGATTTTAAGATTATTACACATTTGTTTGATATTTTAGTGAAATATGCAGTGTCTAAGTACTATTGACTTTGAAAACAGGTATATATATGAAATATTAGAGAAGATATGAAGTGATATTTTGTGTTGTATAGTGTGCATGGTGAGGGGTAAATTTTAAAGATTTTTTAGAGATTAATCTGGTCTCGTCAGAGCTAGAAAAGCATTAACTCTGTTTAAAGGAGCTACACAAAGAAAAATTCACTACAACTGATAATTGAACAAATTACATATGGATGGAAAGATTTTCTCTTAAAAAACACGAATAATTTGCTGAAAAAATCGTATATATATCATGGAAAGGCGTAAAATGCAATTTTTCAAGACCCTTCTTAGACCCCCGAACGCCCCTGAACGTAAGCCAAACACACGAGCGTAGCGAGCTCTGAATAGTGACGTCACATACTGGACAAACAGCTCAGTACCGGCCGCATACCGGAGTCGCGCGTGTATTAGTCTGCAGCTAGCCAGCCGTGTCCCGTGTGTGACGTCACAAATATTGACGCTCTGCAAAGGACCGCTGAAGGCAGAAAATCTGGATCTCAAAACTAACATTTTTGAGAGTTGATTACTGCGGGCCCCAAACATATTTTGAAAAGGAGAGTTGTTGTATTTGATCAGTAAGGCTTCCCCTTCGCAATGATATGAGTTTTGCATCAATTCAAAACACTTTTGATTCTTCGTGTGTCTACTTTAAAGAGTTAACTCCCTTCTGGCTCCAAACTATTTCTAAAGGAATCTGAATAGATATTTAATTTAATTGCGCTGTAAGTAAATGAATATCCATATCTATTTCTGAACTCTTCTGCGACCCGAGATCACTGAGGAGCTGTATTTAAAACCCTGTCACAAAAACTAGCCAGTCAATGTTTGTTTTATATATATACCGCATCCCTGGTGTCAATTCTTTAAAAGAGATATTTTAACAAAAAAGTATTTGCAGTTTTTACCAATCAGATGGCTAGAATCTTAATATGTGGTATATTATAGTGACTATATGGACTATTGAGCGTGGCTGGAATGCTCCCCAGGGAGTGGAGAATGTGCATACATTGTGTGCGGGTAATCCTGAATCCGATGACCGGGGTAATATCTGTGAAGTGCTTAGATACAATCGTTGATGTATTAAGCGCAATATAAAAGCTGGATATTATTATTATTATTATTATTAAAAGGATGTAAGCTCTGTGTTCATTGATAGGCGCATTAAAAAATCCTGGTTGCTAGCAGATAATGTTTCAATCTTTTTGAATTCAAAAGCTTTTAGATTTTCTAATGTATTTGCTCTTAGAATCGCTATGTATTTCAATGATCAATGCCGGACCTAGATACATGTTCTTTGAGTTGCTAAAAGAAATAGTAGATGTGCATGCTTATGCTAGGTATTGTGTTTTAATGCATTAGAGAGATTGGCATGGAGATGTAGATATAGCTCGGGGTATAATTCGTCGTAATTTCTCCTAAGAATATTGATTTTAATCATGATCGCAAACAAATCTAAAGAAACCAACCTAAAAAAGTTTCAATCTTTCCTTGCGTCATGTTTTGAAATAACTGGACATTAATTACGATGACATGTAACAAAGTCTGAACAAGATTTATTTTTAAAAAAATGGGCTTGTTTTCTTGAAAGTCCTTGCATTCGCGTTCAATATTTCACTTTCATTGAATAAATGTTTCTCTTGAAAATATTCGCGCACTTTTCATCTACTTAAATTCAGAAAAAGAGATTGAAGTAATTCGTAATAGTAATTAATATACATGTACTTAAAAACTAAGTTTGAAGTGTTGATTAAGCGTATAAAGCATTTTATTGAACAAAATTAGTAAATAGCTTTTGCCAGCACCCTTTTGAAATAGTTTGTACGGGCTGAACGCAAACTGAAATTGAGATTGTATGAATTGTTTTACAGGTTGATTTTGTATAGCTGTAATTGTTTTATTTCACCTCACCGTCTGTTCTTGCATTAGAACGGAGGCAATATCATGAATAAAGTTGTAATTATAGTGTGTGAAACGCAGAAATGTGACACTAGTCGTGGATTTATTATTTGGTAATGTCATGAATCTCAATGACAAGTGTGTGTGTGTGTGGGGGGGGGGGGGCGAAGCGAACAAAATTTGGGACAATTGGTTGAAACAGTGCTGGATCCTTAACACTCCAAAATAACAAATTTCGCACACCAAATTTAAAAAAAATTAAACAGAAGAAGAAGAAATGAGAATGAGGAGAAGAATTGCCCCAAAATGAAAAAAAAAAAAGATTTGAAGGAATATCAAACTAATGAAGGGAAAGAGAGAGAGAGAGAGAGAGAGAGACTGAGAAGACGGGAGGATGGTAGGAGGTGTGAATGATGAATGTGTATAGTTAACAAGATAAGAAGTGTCATGGAGTTTGCGATGGCATTATTAGTCGTGGATCAAAGTGGGTTAGTGTAGGACACACCTTATCAACATTATATGGTGGCATCTTACAACCATTTTAGCGAAATATTGTAAACATTTGGAACAATTTTCGCTATTTTAGGGACATTTTCGCGCGAATTGATTGGACTAACTTCTGGTCCTGGACTGTTATAAAATTAGCCACGACCGTGCAATATTTCATAATATATGCACAATAATCCGGATCAAATTTTGCGAGATGGGGGGAGGGACAGAAGAAATGTCCCTTTTGCGACTCATTAAATTAATTTTTTGTGAATTTATCCTCAATTTCGAGAATTTTTTAATGAACATTTAATAATTTTTAGGGGATATTTTTTTGGCAAAATGTCCCTCAATTCGCGGAAATTGTATAACTTTTTTGTGATTTTTTAACACAATTTATTTTAGGAAATGGCTGTAGCATGCCAGTGATTTACAAATGTTGCTGAAATGACATGATTTTCCGGTATTTTTTCCCGGTTAGTCATACCTTTTTATGCGTTTGTTGAAAAATTAGAAATTCCCACATTTACAGTCGGGCGAAAAATATGCTTATTTAGAAGGCTTTATGTCATGGTCTGCAAAACGGCTGGGCTTGGGGGCTCGAGCCTCCATAACCTTTTGAAAAAGTGTGTTACAGAGAAAAAGAAAGAAAGAGTGAGAGAAAAAATAAGTGACCTGCCAATGTCACAAACGACGTATCAAAATATGCTCATCTGACCGTAATTAAATACCTAAAACCCCAGAGCTTCCGGGGGCTCTGCCCCCTGGACCCCACCAAAGGCCCTAAGGTGGTCCCATGGATGCTCATCTGACCGTAATTAAATACCTAAAACCCCTGAGCTTCCGGGGGCTCTGCCCCCTGGACCCACCAAAGGCCCTAAGGTGGTCCCGTGGATGCTCATCTGACCGTAATTAAATACCTAAAACCCCAGAGCTTCCGGGGGCTCTGCCCCCTGGACCCCACCGAAAGCCCTAGGGTGGTCCCGTGAATGCTCATCTGACCGTATTTAAAAACCTAAAACCCCATAGCTTCCGGGGGCTCTGCCCCCTGGACTCTACCGAGGGCTCTTAGGCGGTCCCGTGGATGCTCATCTGACCGTAATTAAATACCTGAAACCTCAGAGGTTCCAGGGGCTCTGACCCCTGGACCCCACCAATGGGCTAAGGCAGTCCCATGGATGCTCATCTCACTGTAATTAAATACCTAAAACCCCAGAGCTTTCGGGGGCTCTGCCCCCTGGACCCCACCAAGGGCCTAAAGCGGCCCCTTGATGCTCATGTGACCGTAATTAAATACCTAAAACCCCTGAGCTTCCGGGGGCTCTGCCCCCTGGACCCCACCAAGGGCCCTAAGGCGGCCCCTGGATGCTCATCTGACCGTAATTAAATACCTAAAACCCCTGAGCTTCTGGGGGCTCTGCTCCCTGGACACCCCCCCCCCCCAATTAGTGACCTGCCAGTGTCACAAATAAGGTATCTAAATGTTTATCTGATCGTTAATACTCCACTTTGAAAAACGTTCCGCGGGCCCTGCATTTAACGTGTAAGAGTGGTGGTGATGCAGATTCTGCCCCCCCCCCACACTTCCAAACGTTTTTGCTCATTACGTCACTGCCCCTGGAAGGTGAGCCCCCTGGAATGTTTGCCCCCCCCCCCCAATCCCAAACTGCTTCCGGCGCGCCTGCACTACATAATCATGTCCGTCTAATGACGCAGTAATACATATATATATATATATATATATATATATATATATATATATATATATATACCAACTCGTTGCGTTAACAGGACATCTATATATATCATCCTACATGGTACATTAACCGGGCATCATTATAAAAAAAAATGGTATATTAACCCTAACCCTAACCCTAGCCCTAACCCTAAATTCAAAATAATATAACTAATAAAACTAGTGACTAATGATTAAACCTTTTTGTTCTTGGGAGGCCTTTAAGTTTCCTCTGTCTGTAAACGTACGTAGAAGGCATTACTTTTTTTGTTCAATCGTTAACAGGACACTCCTGCTAATGACCTTGTCTACTAAATGATTTTTTTTAATTTATAGTTCCTATGTTAAAATGCTAGAGGGCTATTCCAGAATCGAACAGGCTTGGCGCCATCTTAATCGGGGCAAAAACTCTTTTACTGTAATTTGTTTCCTTGGTTTGTATGTCTTTATGCAACATAAAATAAAATCATATGGCTAAATAGCTGGTTGTTATGTTCTCGTTGTTTTTTACTTTGTTGTTTTATTTTACATAAATCTAATCATTGCTTATAGTGTGCAGTGTGCGTTAATATGTGCACTAGTGTTGTAATTTGGATCGCTATAGTGGGGCTGAAATGCGCCATCTCTAGTTATAAACTGTAATAGAAATGCATTGTCGTTAGTTCACATGGACATATAAAGTGCCATAACTCGGTCAATAGTCACATATATCTGTAACTCGTTACGTATTTTGCGTAAATATAACATTCTAATTTCGAAGAAATTATCAGGGTGAGTGTATTGATATTTACTATCCGTAATTTGCGCCAATATAACGCATTGAAAAGATGGATATGACAATAACGAAATGCATTTCTGCTTGTGGTTGGAAACGGAGATATCGCTGTATGATCTCAACAGTAATAATACCATGTGATTTCGTATTGCTCAGATTATTGAATTTAGTGGCGTCTTGCAAATTCAACAATTGACATTAGATTTAGTCGGAAACAGCAACACTAGTTGTAGTAGCCTACTAGAAGTGGAAGTGGTAGTTATATAAATTAGTAGTAATATTAGTAGTAGCGACAGTTGTATTCTTAGTATTAATATAGTAGTAGTAGTAGTAGTAGTAGTAGTACAAGCAGCAGCAAAAACAGCAGCAGAAGTAGTAATAATAGTAGTATAGTGGTAGTGGTAGTAGAAATAGTAGTAGTAGTAGTAGAAGCAGCAGCAGTAGTAGTAGTATTAGTATTAGAAGTAGTAGTAGTAGTCGTAGTGGTAATAGTAGTAGGAGTAGTTGTAGTAGTAGTAGTAGTAGTAGTAGTAGTAGTAGTAGTAGACGTGGTATTAATAGAAGTAGTGGTGGTTATTTAACCTGATTGCTAAGAACGCATAAATAAATGCTTGTTAGTAAGCAACCAGAGGATCGGCTGCTTTTGGTCCTCTCCTAGTAGTAGCATATAATAGTGGCAGTAATAGTAGTAGTAGTAGTAGTAGTAGTAGCAGTAGCAAAAGCAAATAGTAGTAGTAATAGTAATAGTAGGAGTAGGAGTAGTAGTAGTAGTAGTAGTAGTAGCAGCAGTAATATTAGTAGTATTAGTAGAAGTAGTAATATCATTAGTAGTAGTAGTAGTAGTAGTAGTAGTAGTAGTAGTAGTAGTAGTAGTAGTAGTAGTGGAAGAAGAAGAAGAAGTAGAAGTAGTGGAAGAAGAAGTAGTAGCAGCACTATTAATATTAGTAGTTGTGGCAGAAGTAGTAGTAGTACTTGTAGTAGTAGTAGTAGTAGTAGTACATGTAGTAAGAGTAATAGTAGTAGTAGTAGTAGTAGTAGTAGTTGTACATGTAGTAAGAGAAGTAGTTGTAGTAGTAGTAGTAGTAGTAGTAGTATATATTGCTTTTACTACTGCTACTACTGCTACTACTTCTACTACTGCCACTATTATATGCTACTACTAGGAGAGGACCAAAAGCCGTCGATCCTCTGGTTGCTTACTAACAAGCATTTATTTATGCGTTCTTAGCAATCAGGTTAAATAACTACCACTACTACTATTAATACCACGTCTACTACTACTACTACTACTACTACTACTACTACTACCACTACTGCTACTACTACTACTACTACCACTACTATACTTATAATAACCCTCCCCCACTACTACTACTACTACTACTTCTACTACTAATACTACTACTATTATTACTACTACTACTACTACTAATACAACTACTACTCTTACTACATGTACTACTACTACTACTACTACTACTACAATTACTACTACTTCTACAATTACTACTACTACTACTACTACTACTACTACTGCCACTATTATGCTACTACTAGGAGAGGACCAAAAGCCGTCGATCGTCTGGTTGCTTACTAACAAGCATTTATTTATGCGTTCTTAGCAATCAGGTTAAATAACCACCACTACTACTATTAATACCACGTCTACTACTACTACTACTACTACTACTACTACTACTACTACTACTACTACCACTACTACTACTACTACTACTACTACTCTTACTACATGTACTACTACTACTACTCTTACTACATGTACTACTACTACTACTACTACTACTACAACTACTACCCTTACTACATGTACTACTCATACTACCACTACTATACTAATAATAATCCTCTCCCACTACTACTACTACTACTACTACTACCACTTCCTCTACTACTACTACTACTACTACTACTACTCTAACTACATGTACTACTACTACTACTACTACTACTACTACTACTACTACTACTACTACTACTCTTACTACATGTACTACTACTAGTACTACTACTACTACTCTTACTACATGTACTACTACTACTACTACTACAACTACTACCCTTACTACATGTACTAGTACTACTACTACTACTACTACCACCTTACTACTACAACTACTACTCCTACTACATGTACTACTACTACTTCTAATACTACTACTTCCTCTACTACTAATACTACTACTACTACTTTTACGCTTACTACATGTACTACTACTACTACTACTACTACTACTCTTACTACATGTACAACTACTACTACTACTACTCTTACTACATGTACTACTACTACTACTACTACTACTACTACTACTACTCTTACTACATCTACTACTACTACTACTACTACTACTCTTACTACATGTACTACTACTACTACTTCTACTACTTCCTCTACTACTAATACTACTACTACTCTTATTACATGTACTACTACTACTACTACTACTACTACTACTTCCTCTACTACTACTACTACTACTACTACTACTACTCTTACTACATGTACTACTACTACTACTACTACTACTTCTCTTACTACATGTGCTACTACTACTACTACTACTACTACTACTACTCTTACTACATGTACTACTACTACTACTACTACAACTACTACCCTTACTACATTTACTACTACTACTACTACTACTACTACTACTACTCTTACTACATGTACTACTACTACTACTACTACTACTACTACCTTACTACTACAAATACTACTCCTACTACATGTACTACTAATACTACTACTACAACTACTACTCTTACTACATGTACTACTACTACTACTACTACTTCCTCTACTACTACTACTACTACTACTACTACTACTACTACTACTACCACTACTGCTTCTACTACTCATACTACCACTACTATACTTATAATAATGCTCTCCCACTACTACTACTACTACTACTACTACTTCCTCTACTACTACTACTACTACTACTACTACTACTCTTACTACATGTACTACTGCTACTACTACTACTACTCTTACTACATGTACTACTACTACTACTACTACTACTCTTACTACATGTACCACTAATACTACTACTACTTCTCTTACTACATGTACTACTACTACTACTACTACTACTACTACTACTCTTACTACATGTACTACTACTACTACTACTACAGCTACTACCCTTACTACATGTACTACTACTACTACTACTACTCTTACTACATGTACTCCTACTACTACTACTACTACTCTTACTACATGTACTACTACTACTACTACTACTACTACTCTTACTACATGTACTACTACTACTACATGTACTACTACTACTTCTACTACTACTACTTCCTCTACTACTACTACTACTACTTTTACTCTTACTACATGTACTACTACTACTACTACTACTACTACTACCACTACTGCTACTACTACTACTACTACCACTACTATACTTATAATAACCCTCCCCCACTACTACTACTACTACTACTTCTACTACTAATACTACTACTATTATTACTACTACTACTACTACTAATACAACTACTACTCTTACTACATGTACTACTACTACTACTACTACTACTACAATTACTACTACTTCTACAATTACTACTACTACTACTACTACTACTACTACTGCCACTATTATGCTACTACTAGGAGAGGACCAAAAGCCGTCGATCGTCTGGTTGCTTACTAACAAGCATTTATTTATGCGTTCTTAGCAATCAGGTTAAATAACCACCACTACTACTATTAATACCACGTCTACTACTACTACTACTACTACTACTACTACTACTACTACTACTACTACCACTACTACTACTACTACTACTACTACTCTTACTACATGTACTACTACTACTACTCTTACTACATGTACTACTACTACTACTACTACTACTACAACTACTACCCTTACTACATGTACTACTCATACTACCACTACTATACTAATAATAATCCTCTCCCACTACTACTACTACTACTACTACTACCACTTCCTCTACTACTACTACTACTACTACTACTCTAACTACATGTACTACTACTACTACTACTACTACTACTACTACTACTACTACTACTCTTACTACATGTACTACTACTAGTACTACTACTACTACTCTTACTACATGTACTACTACTACTACTACTACAACTACTACCCTTACTACATGTACTAGTACTACTACTACTACTACTACCACCTTACTACTACAACTACTACTCCTACTACATGTACTACTTCTAATACTACTACTTCCTCTACTACTAATACTACTACTACTACTTTTACGCTTACTACATGTACTACTACTACTACTACTACTACTCTTACTACATGTACAACTACTACTACTACTACTCTTACTACATGTACTACTACTACTACTACTACTACTACTACTACTACTCTTACTACATCTACTACTACTACTACTACTACTACTCTTACTACATGTACTACTACTACTACTTCTACTACTTCCTCTACTACTAATACTACTACTACTCTTATTACATGTACTACTACTACTACTACTACTACTACTTCCTCTACTACTACTACTACTACTACTACTACTCTTACTACATGTACTACTACTACTACTACTACTACTTCTCTTACTACATGTGCTACTACTACTACTACTACTACTACTACTACTCTTACTACATGTACTACTACTACTACTACTACAACTACTACCCTTACTACATTTACTACTACTACTACTACTACTACTACTACTACTCTTACTACATGTACTACTACTACTACTACTACTACTACTACTTACTACTACAAATACTACTCCTACTACATGTACTACTAATACTACTACTACAACTACTACTCTTACTACATGTACTACTACTACTACTACTACTTCCTCTACTACTACTACTACTACTACTACTACTACTACTACTACTACCACTACTGCTTCTACTACTCATACTACCACTACTATACTTATAATAATGCTCTCCCACTACTACTACTACTACTACTACTACTTCCTCTACTACTACTACTACTACTACTACTACTACTCTTACTACATGTACTACTGCTACTACTACTACTACTCTTACTACATGTACTACTACTACTACTACTACTACTCTTACTACATGTACCACTAATACTACTACTACTTCTCTTACTACATGTACTACTACTACTACTACTACTACTACTACTACTCTTACTACATGTACTACTACTACTACTACTACAGCTACTACCCTTACTACATGTACTACTACTACTACTACTACTCTTACTACATGTACTCCTACTACTACTACTACTACTCTTACTACATGTACTACTACTACTACTACTACTACTACTCTTACTACATGTACTACTACTACTACATGTACTACTACTACTTCTACTACTACTACTTCCTCTACTACTACTACTACTACTTTTACTCTTACTACATGTACTACTACTACTACTACTACTACTACTACTACTACTATTACCACTACTGCTTCTACTACTCATACTACCACTACTATACTTATAATAATCCTCTCCCACTACTACTACTACTACTACTACTACTTCCTCTACTACTACTACTACTACTACTACTACTACTACTACTCTTACTACATGTACTACTACTACTACTACACTACTACTACTACTCTTACTACATGCACTACTACTACTACTACTACTACTTCTACTACTTCCTCTACTACTACTACTACTACTACTACTACTACTACTCTTACTACATGTACTACTACTACTACATGTACTACTACTACTTCTACTACTACTACTTCCTCTACTACTACTACTACTACTACTACTTTTACTCTTACTACATGTACTACTACTACTACTACTACTACTACTACTTCCTCTACTACTACTACTACTACTACTACTACTTTTACTCTTACTACATGTACTACTACTACTACTACTACTACTCTTACTACATGTACTACTACTACTTCTACTACTACTTCTACTACTTCCTCTACTACTACTACTACTACTACTCTTACTACATGTACTACTACTACTACTACTACTTCTCTTACTACATGTACTACTACTACTACTACTACTACTACTACTCTTACTACATGTACTACTACTATTACTACTACTCTTACTACATGTACTACTACTACTTCTACTACTTCCTCTACTACTACTACTACTACTACTCTTACTACATGTACTACTACTACTTCTACTACTACTTCCTCTACTACTACTACTACTACTACTACTACTACTCTTACCACATGTACTACTAATACTACTACTACTTCTCTTACTACATGTACAACTACTACTACTACTACTCTTACTCCATGTACTACTACTACTACTACTACTCTTACTACATGTACTACTACTACTACTACTACTACTACTTCTACTACTTCCTCTACTACTACTACTACTACTACTACTACTCTTACTACATGTACTACTACGACTACTACAACTACTACTCTTACTACATGTACTACTACTACTACTACTACTACTACTACTACTACTACTACTACTCATACTACATGTACTACTACTACTACTACTACAACTACTACTCTTACTACATCTACTACTACTTCTACTACTTCCTCTACTACTACTACTACTACTACTACTACTCTTACTACATGTACTACTACTACTACTACAACTACTACTCTTACTACATGTACTACTACCACTACTACTACTACTACTACTACTACTACTACTACTACTACTACTATTACCACTACTGCTTCTACTACTCATACTACCACTACTATACTTATAATAATCCTCTCCCACTACTACTACTACTACTACTTCCTCTACTACTACTACTACTACTACTACTCTTACTACATGTACTACTACTACTACTACTACTCTTACTACATGTACTACTACTACTACTACTACTACTTCTACTACTTCCTCTACTACTACTACTACTACTACTCTTACTACATGTACTACTACTACTTCTACTACTACTTCTACTACTTCCTCTACTACTACTACTACTACTACTACTCTTACTACATGTACTACTAATACTACTACTACTTCTCTTACTACATGTACTACTACTACTACTACTACTACTACTACTACTCTTACTACATGTACTACTACTACTACTACTACTACTACTCTTACTCCATGTACTACTACTACTACTACTACTCTTACTACATGTACTACTACTACTACTACTACTTCTACTACTTCCTCTACTACTACTACTACTACTACTACTACTCTTACTACATGTACTACTACGACTACTACAACTACTACTCTTACTACATGTACTACTACTACTACTACTACTACTCATACTAGTAGTAGTAGAAGTAGGAGTAGTATGAGTAGTACTACTAGTAGTAGTAATAGTAGTTGTAGTAGTAGCAGTGGTAGTAGTAGTAGTAGTAGTAGTAGAGGAAGTAGTAGTAGTAGAATTAGTAGTAGAAGTAGTAGTAGTAGTAGTAGTAGTAGTACATGTAGTAAGAGTAGTAGTACATGTAGTAAGAGTAGTAGTAGTAGTAGTAGTAGTAGTAGTGGAAGAAGAAGTAGTAGCAGCACTATTAATAGTAGTAGTAGTGGCAGAAGTAGTAGTAGTAGTAGTAGTAGTATTAGTAGTAGTAGTAGTAGTAATAGTAGTAGTAGTAGTAGTAGTGGTAGTAGACGTGGTATTAATAGTAGTAGTATTTGTTATTAAACCTGATTGCTAAGAACGCATAACTTAATGCTTGTTAGTAAGCAACCAGAGGATCGACGGCTTTTGTAGGAGTATTTGTAGTAACAGTGGTAGTAGTAGTAGTAGTATTAGTAGTAGTAGTAGGAGTAGTAGTAGTAGTAGTAGTAGGAGTAGTTGTAGAAGTAGCAGTGGTAGTAGTAGTAGTAGTAGAGGAAGTAGTAGTAGTAGTTTTATTATTATTATTACTAGTAGTAGTAGTAGTAGGCCTACATATAGTATGAGTAGTAGTAGTAGTAGTGGTATTAGTAGTAGTAGTAGTAGTAGTACATGTAGTAGTAGTAGTAGTAGTAGTAGTAGTAGTAGTAAGAGGAGTAGTAGAAACAGTATTAGAAGAAGAAATAGTAGTACTATTGGCAGAATTAACAGTGGCAGAAGAAGTAGTAGTAGAACTAGTAGTAGTAGAAGTAGTAGTAGTGTCTCTTTTAAAAATATTACGTTGAAGATGTATGCATTTTCGAGGAATTTTGACCAGGTTTTTACTTTCATTTCACTTTTTTAGGATTAGGGCAAAATAAGGAATCACCATGACTGACTCATTAACAGACGAAAGAATTAGCGAATTGGCAGAGGCTTTGGCCGTAGACAAGAGATTACCCGCGCTAGGTCTAAAGCTCGGATTCAGGCCAACAAAGGTCGATATGTATATGAGTAATAATAAGAGGAATGATAGTTTCGAAGGAACCACCGCCATGCTCTTTGACTGGAAAAGAAAGACCAAAAAAGTGGAACAAATTCCTGATTTAGTGAAGGCACTGAGTGACTCTGGTTTAGTGGAATTTGTGGATGAATTCTTCCCCGAAGGAGGTAAGATGGCTTCAACAAATCTTGTTCGTAAAATCTGGGCATGATATGACAGAGGTCATTTTTTTTTAACCGAATTCGTAAAAAACTCACAAAGATAAATACTGGATAGGTGCTCCGGAAAATAAACAGACAAAGGTCTCTTGTACCAAATTCATAAAATTGAATAGTGGGTGTTGCTAATGAAAGTTATCTGCATATGAGCCAATGTAAGCAGACTGAAGTCATTTGTATCAAATTTATGAAACCATAAAGAAGAATAATGGATTGTTGCTCTTGAAAGTTATGGCATTATTATTCATCATCTGTGCATCCATGATAACCAGGTGGAAATATTTCCTTTACAAAAAGAGGATATTAAAAGTTAGTTATTTATTAAACCATCTTTGAAGTCGTCTCTTTGGAAGTGATTAATTTTTTTTTGAATGCGCATATGATATAGTGCCACCTCCGATCCTTAGGTCAACAGAAATATTTGTGGATATTTTGGGTGATTATTTAAACATATCATATATGTATGCTAACTATATAGGAACCGGGGTGTTTCATAAAGCTGTTCGTAAAGTTACGCATGACTTCACGAACGACTTGTATATGAAGTGCCAGATAGGATGCCCAAATTTTTTTCTGATATTTTCAATAACCTCAATTATATTATGGCAAAATTATACTTTGCATTAAAAATGTTTGTTATCATACAAATATTATTCTACATCTGCACAGTTCAACTTAAGTTGATGTATTTAAAAATGATTGAGCATCCCACTTGGCTTTTCATAAACAAGTCGTTCGTAAAGTCATGCATAACTTTACGAACAGCTTTATGAAACGCCCCCGGTCCATTACCTTTCAATTGTATCGTTTACCAACAGAAAAAGTATTTGCACTTGAATAGTCTTAATGGCATTTTTACTCTTTAAGGGCAGCGCAAATAATCTCCCTGAGTCAGGCGCGTACATAGGGGGAGGGGGGGGGGGGTTTAGGGGGTTAAACTCCCCTTTGGTAATTTGTTATGTGTAAACCCCCCTAAATTTCTCTAAACCCCCCCCCTTTTGGATTTAAAAAAAAAAAAAAAAAAATATTCCCATGGTTGACCTAAAAAAGCTGACCTTACCCCCCCCCCCCAACGGAGCAAAATGTCAAATTTTCAAATTTCGAGATCCCCCCCCCAAAAATGTGTCTCCTCTTACCCCCCCCCCCCTCCCCCCCCTCCCCTCCCCCCCCCCCCCGCTTATTCAGCGGTCGGCTGAGTCGTTGCGATTTTTTTGGGACCAAAAAAGAAAGAAAAAGTGACCTCTTAAGCCCCCCCCCCCCCCGCTTATTCAGCGGCTGGCTGAGTCGTTGCGAAATTTTCGGCCGATTTATAAATGTTAACCCCCCCCCCCCCCTTGAAAAAATCCTGCGTACGCGCCTGCCCTGAGTCATATTGCATTTCACATCGGCTAGTTTTACCGTATCATCTGAATTAAGATAAACGATTCCACTGTAATACTAATGGAAATGAAATAAATATGAATATATGAATATATGAATATATACTAATATATTATACAGAGGCTAAACAAAATTATCTTGTATGTGACCAAGCCCGAGCATGGTTAACTTCGCAAGCTTCTGTGTTGCACAAAGGAAACCACTTGTTAACAGACCGGTTTAATAATAATATTCCAATTTATGGATGTGCCTTATGTGCCAATACCTTAATGTATATATGAACATGTATGTATGTATGTATGTAAGGGTGTACGTTTGTATGTAGTTATTTACACTTCTGTTTTAACTATGTATTCTTTTATTTTATTTATTCTCTTATCAATTAATTGGTTGTTTGTTGTTTTCCAATATCTATTTTTGTTCTAATTAAATTATTTTTTTTAATATAAAAAAAATAAAAAATAAATTTTACTAGGCCTAATTGTTTTTTCTTCTTCATTTTGTTTTGTAGCCGCAAGACAAGTGACAGTCCCAACGGAAAACCCTTCCACTTCAGCTTCAAATGTGGGCAGCAAAAGCTCGTAGGTATCACGATATTTTACGATTGATTTGAAGGGGGAACTATTTTGCCACAGTATTTGATATATATATATCTATCTTTGTGTGTATATCTATAATATATACACAAATTGAAATCTAAAGAAATATAGTCCACCATTCTAAATCATCATCAACACACAATTACATACGGAAAAAAAAATCGAAATCAGTTACAATATAATCAATCGAAATTCATCACCTTCAAAGGGAGAAGCAGATACACAGATGGGGATATCATCATCAGTGTAATGATACATACAAAAGAATCCCCAATACAGGTCGAAGTAAATAGTCAAATTGCATCTCATTGTTTAAATGAACAAATACATAAACAAACAAAAACCAAAACAAAATAAAGAATATCATCAAAGTACAAAAATATCATCAAGGACAAATTTAATGGTGATATCCAACCCAACTCTTCTTTAAGTTTGTAATTTCCTATTTCGAACATATTACTTAATCTACCACCGTACATGTTGCTGAGAGAAGTGACACAAATCTTAATCTCATCATACTCATTACTTTAAAAAACGACATTCATGTACATGTATGATGAAAAGTAAATGAATTTTATCTTGAACTTGAGCTTGAAGTTGATAACTGAAGTTGAGTATATCGAAATATACGCACTATTCCACGTCTTAATGACTGTTGTATTCTACATCAAGTTTATGTTTGTATGATGACTGCATTTAGTCAATGTTCCTCACTCTTATGCGAGGGGTATTGGGTTCAATCACTATGAACATGACGGACAAAGAAAGAGGACAAAATATACAGTTCCTCATTCTACCCTCAACCCTCAACAATTGCGGTGGTAGACAAAGGAACATCCCTTCACTGCTGTCATGTACAAATGTGTAGAACAAGAGACACTTGCATATTCACCTGTTCTACACATTTTTACATAATAGCAGTAAAGGAATGTTCCTTTGTCTACCACAGCAATTGTCGAGGGTAGAATGAGGAACTGTATATTTTGTCCTCTTTCTTTGTCCGTCATATTCATAGTGAATCCTTGCTCAGTGCTTGCCCACATCTATTTTTCTTCTCGACCCAGGTCTAGAAAATGTGTACCTAAAAATGCTGTGGTTAATTTTATTTGCAGGGCCCTCGGGAATTTTAGTATTAATTCTCATGTGAAAACAACTGTTAAAAAAAGACCTGGGGTGTTTCACAAAGATCCTAAGTCGAACTTAAATCTAAGTTGGACTTTAAAATTATGGAAAGCCATTAGTAGCCTAAAAATGAGATATTTCGAAAAGCAAACATTTTAAGCTTTTTAGACTTTTCATAAATTCCACATCAAGAACATGAAATCTCCTTGATAATACAAAATATGAATGATTTGAATCAACATTTTATGCCTTTTGAAATAACTTTAAAAAAATATTTTCAATGATGCTAATGGCTTTCCATGATTGTTCAGTCCAACATAGAGAGAAGTTCAACTTAGGATCTTTGTGAAACACCCCCCAAATCATAAAATCATATTATTGCTATACACTGCTGCCCATATAGTTGGAATAATTTCCCCCTCCTTTCATGACATGATTGTGACAACATGGTTTATTCTTGTTAGATTAAGGCCTTTTCTTCTCAAAACTTTATTGATCATTTTTTAAAGAATCAAAGAGATTGTTCAGAAATTTCTGTGAAGATATAACTTTATCAGTCCAGTAAAAAACCATTGTTCTCATAATCACTTTATAAAAAGAGGAGAGTTTTTTTTCTCACCTCAACGGGCAAGCAGCGTATATTATTATTAAAAAGGTTAATGTAGATTTTCGTGTTTGATTTACCCGTAGGATGGACCGACTTGTGAAGGAGAAGGAACTCATGAAACTGGCAGGTTGCCTTCCAGCAGATTCCTACTCAGAGGTCGCCATTAACTTAGGGGTTGGGTTCACCGAACACGACAACATCAGGAGGCAAAATGCATCATTAAAAGATGCTAATTTTAAAATGTTAATGAAATGGAAATGCAGAGAAGAGGGTGGAAAAGTGAAAGATCTGGATAAAGCTTTAAATGAAGCTAGTTGTGGAGGGCTTATGTACAAAGATGTGTAACTATTTCATGGTATCCGCAAGTTTATTTATGCTACGATCGCAAAGATTTTTCGAAAAGAAATAAACTAAAAAGGAATTTCACCAGGCTTTGTCCATCACCGATTAGAATGTATGAATATTACTGCCAGGGACGTGTTACGCAATCTGTACCTGATTTCAAAGGGATAAACGATGATATATTGAATTTACCCTGTAATTAAATAATTTTCGAAAGTCTTTGTAATCGTGTTAACATAGTGAAGTAAAATATCAGAGTTGAAGTTCTGGCACTACCACCATTCACTACCTATACATTTTGGTCTTCTATTCTATCCATTCTAGTTTACTCTTCCCTCACTTCAATTTTGCTTTTCAACTTTAAAGACCTCCGGCGTATCTGAATCAAATCATTCATCTTTGTGGTGTATATATGTTTTCAGGATGCATTTTATACTCATTGTAATTTGTGTGAATGTACTAGTTTAGCTGCAGCACTTGTCTTTAAACCACGACCAGATCAATTTTGCCGATTCCATGGCAACTACTAAATTGAGTTTAAACATTTCATTTGACTTTTATACCGAAGGTGACAAATGCAATAATTATTTACGATAACATTCAACATCCAAAGTTATAATTAATTGTTCATAGAAAGCTGGGACAATTATGATCACAAATGTATAACTCATGCCAATTAAGTTTCATTGAATAACACGTAACACCAATGATTCAAACATTGTGTCCTTTTTACCCAATGTATGCCCACGACCGTTAATGTTATGTATGTATGGATATAAGGTTGCATTAATCTGTCGTCTAGTTCAACGTGTTGTGTTCATCAGTGAAACGGATGATAACCGATTGATAATAGTACAATAGGACTTTGAAACGCAATGATAGCCCACAAAAGGTGTTTACCAGTCATCGGGGAATACCATCTTTTATGTGCTGGCAGTCATGGAAGACTGAGTAAAAATCCTGTATTCAACTACACGTGTTATCTTGCTTTACCACGATTTTGATGAATACATGTCGTATAAAACTTGTTTTTATAAAAATCGACGAGGACAACCGACTATCAATATAGAATATCCCAGTTGCTGATCGTGACCTTGAATTTATTCATATTATATTGTTATTTGACTATTCAGATCCTCGACCATTAAGATTTTACATGTTTGAATATTGATATCAGATATTGTAAGTTGCACAACGTCGGATCGAAGTCCGATCAAATAAAGAGCGGTAGGCTTCTGGCAAAAATTAATGAGTAATCTCTTTAACTAAAAGAAATTTGAATGATTAATCTCTTCAAATTCATGAAACATTTTCATATCGAAGCGTATTGATATATTGCACTGATCATAACAAGGGCTTCGTGAATAAGTAAACGAATTTCATAAAGATCTAGTCCAAGGGTTCCTTGCACAAGTGAAACTCTTTCTCAAACCAAAGACTTGTCTCTGCCTCAAGTCTGACCCAAGCTGTTACCCTAGCCCGGACTCTTTGCCTTACATAACATGAATGCAGATCCAATGTTGTGTCATTGTTTAAAATGTCTCATATTCGATATGATTCTGTGAAATAAATGTGTTACTTGATTACAATCTTGACCCAGCTGTATGGTTGACGAAATAAACCAAGTAGGAGCAAACGAAATATCCCCGTTTTACATGTGGTTATTATGATATGATTCAATGTAATATAATGTAAATGTTTGTTCATTATTTTGAGCTTAATAGTACAAATGTTTATTTTGTATGAAAGGGGCAAGGTTCAAGTCGATGCAGAGTGGTGGATAGGGAAGGGAGTGGGGTACAGGTGCCAGAGCTATATTGGTTTTGGTGGTAGCGCATTTAATATGGGACATGTTGCTTTTATGAGCAAGCACGGAACAAAACAAAATGACACCCACTACCCCAGTAAGTGGGTCTAACTGTGTGTTCCGTTGGCTCTTTGACATAATAAGAAGCCCCCCCCCCTTTTGGAAAAAAAATGAGTGCGTGTGGATAAAGGTTGGATTATAAAGAGATTGCTTATTAAATAAAAAAAACTGCTTTACAGGTCTAAAGTTCACTTGCACTTATAATGACGATGGTTTAGATGAATAATTTCAAAGAAAAAAATCAAGTCACCGAGATAAATATGTACAATATGATATTTATCAGACATAAACAGACAGTGTCACAATTACTCCCTTAGACTATGATCAGTATGATTGTAAATCTTCAAAAACCGAGGTAGAATAATGATAACATTTTATGTTATTCAAAGTTTGGGCATTTCCTTGATGTGATGTTTTATTTGGAAAGAAAAAAAGCTGTAAAATCTAAACCAAATTATATTACTCAGAGTTGTCAAATTTGTCAAAGAGATTTGTTAATGTATTGATGCAAGCTAACATTTTTTTTGTATCAGCAATACACTAATTGGTAAAGACATGAGGTAAATAACAACAGCAACACATATTTCTTATTACAATTGTACTACTTGGTTAAGAGGAAGACTTTAATTTTCATTTTGTATCCACTGATAGCAATTGCATATTGCTTTTCATAATTCCACAATGATGCAGGCTTGAACCAGAGTTATTAAAATAAAGGTGTCGTAATCGCGTGGTTTAGAAACTCTACAGCTAGGGACAAATGTTTCTAGTTTCCATTGAGTTCCATTTACATATTCCAATCTCATCTGAAAAGTGATAATTGAGCTATCTTGAAATACATTGTGCATTGATGATGTTTTTCTGGGTAATGCCTATGCCTGACCAACTTGGGGGCAAGCGCTTGTCCAAATTTGATAGGCCTAATTATTTATCCTCTCATGATCACCTTTTACTTCAGCTGTTAGGTTAAGAGGCCAAAGATGGGCCTGAAAAACTGACACTCAGTTGGTTGGATGTATAATTACCCTCATGGGTAAATATTTTGGTAAAGACTCTTTATCAGTTACGTAGTTTAAAGGCAATGCATTATCATACAAAGATCGAATATAATTGCTGTTATTGAATATCCATCTGCAATATGCAATCATTGTTAAAGCGTGTTCATCCATCTTGTCCTAAAGCGTTCAGTACACAGTGCTGTATTGCAAAATGATTTAGGGAACAAAAGCGGGGAAATCCCATTTCTACAGCATATCACGCGACCGGGTTTAGAGACGTTCCGACCTTCACTTGTCGATGAAAAGACACACTCTCTCGTTTGGTGTATTTGGACCCTAGTTTTAGTGTCAATGAAAATATCGAAAATATAATTTACAAACTTTATTGTGTCAGTGTACTGTGGAGATAATTATGATACATTTCATTAAATCAACTCCCCTCTTTCTCATCAATTTTATTTCTCAATCTCATTTGTTCACACATAATTATTCTCTCTCTCTCTCTCTCTCTCTCTCTCTCTTGTCTTTCTCCCTCTATTATGCTTGCTTTCTGCGTTTCCCCTTTTACCTCTACCTGTCTTTACTCTCTGAGAGATGGCGTTATGTATTTATATTTTCCGGGGACTTGCCTTTGCTCTTTGTTGGTCCCTACACTGTTTTACCCCATTGCCATATGTATAGGTTGTTCGGTATGTTTTATTGTCATTTTCATACCGGCTTGATCGAGCATGGCTGCCATTATGGCGGCTTAGCATTCAAGGAATCAATTCCAGTGTGGCAAGCACGACAAGTATCTTGCCAAGAAATTTGTAAGGAAAGAAAGATAACAAGGAAACTAATGTTGAAAAGGGAAAAAATAGAGAAAAAGGAAGAGCAAGATATTTTTCAAAAGACAGGTAGAGGTAAAAAAAAAAATAATAATAAAACGAAGAAAGCACGTATGAGAGAGAAAGAAATGATAGAGAGAGAGAGAGAGAGGGAACAATTATGTAAGAAAGAAAATACAAAAAAGAAAGAAAGAGAATTTATGTAAGTGTTTTATATGTCCACGGTATCCAGAGCCAATAAAGTTCGTAAATTGAATTGTTGATATTTTCATTGAGAAAAGGGTCCGATACACCAAACGAGAGAGGGTTTCTTTTCATTGACATGCGAAGGTCGGCGCCTCTCATATCAGCTCATCGCGTGATATGCTGTAGAAGTGGGATTTCCCCACTATTGTTCTCGAAATCATTTTGCAGTACAGCACTGTGTACTGATAGCATCGGTCCATGATGGATGAACACGTTTTAACAATGATTGCATATTTCTTTATTCAGATGGATATTCAATTCTGTTAGATCTTTGTATGATAACGCATTGCCTCTGAACTAAAAACTAGTGTTTGCCAAACATGTTATCCTTGAGTGTAGTCATACATCCAACTAACTGAAGGGCAGTTTCCAGGCCCAACTTTGGCGTCTTCACCTTAAACTTTATAATAATAAATCATATTTCTATAGCGCATTATACAAGGTATGTCTTTATGCGCTTTACATTGTATTACAAGCTTAATTAATTACATGTATTTACTATTGAACTATCCTTAAACAAAAAATTCTGACAAGATCTTAACTAAAATAGTACAACAGTAAGTAGATAGAAAAACATTATAATTTATTCTTAAATAATGATACAACAATTATGGTGCAAGATTTTATTCATATATTACAAGTTATAGATAACAAAACATGACAATAATTAATTCTTACAAAGGTAGGTCTTAAGTGCAGTCTTGAAGGTCTGGATGGAAGGTGCAGTTCTAATGGTGAGCGGGAGAGAGTTCCAGAGGGTGGGAGCATTGACGGTGAAGGAGCTACGGCCGCAGTACCGGGTCTTAAAACGAGGAACCTGGCGAAGATGTTTGTTCTGGGATCTGAGAGCACGGGAGGGTGTGTAGGTATGAATGAGTTCAGACAGATAAGAAGGGATAGAGTTAGAGAGAGAATTGTAGGTGAGAAGTAGGATCTTCAGGGGAATCCGCTTGTTGATTGGGAGCCAGTGGAGGTTACGGAGAAGGGATGTGGTAGAAGTGAGACCAGTTGTTTTCTCTGTGATTCTGGCTGCGATGTTTTGAATTCTTTGAAGCTTCGTAAGTTCGTTGGCAGGAAGATTAGGAAGAAGTGCATTGCATGTGTCGAGTTTAGAGGTGACGAGGGCATGGGTGAGAGTGACAGTTGTCTTCCGGTCTAAAACCCTACGAATTTCACCTATCTTTCTGATTTGTAGTAAATTGTAACGCACTCAATGTTATTTAGGGTACGGATATGTATGTTCCCTCCTTTTGAACCCCCCCCCCCAAGTCTGGTGTGTAAAGTCAATACGGGACGGATTTTTGTGTACTACGAGCTGGACTTTACCGGACATTTTGGTAACACGCATGCGGTCATTCCGACCCTGGAGTGGGGGGGGGGGGGGGGGGGGGGGGGTGTAAAATCTGTTGGTTAATATTGTAATCCTATTATTGCTCAGACTAATGAAAATGGTAATGATAAAAGTAGTAATAAAACAAACACTAGAACTACTACAAATGATAATAATAATGTTAAAAGGGACTTGGTAACATTGTTAAGCTGGGAGAAAGTGGTTCAAGGTAGTGAATTCAATGCTAGACTTAAACTTAAAGATAATCTGAAAATTTGAGTGAAAACGGACCAAGTCAAGAACCCCATGACTTTTACAAGCCGATCGACTGTCTAATTATCAAGATATTAACGATTGGAAATCTAAAACAAATTATTATTCTGCGTCTGTAAAGTGGCCCTGTTGGGAGTTATGTTTTCATCACAGCGCAGTACATGTTATTGATATAGTAGCTGCGCTTTATTGAGAAGGCTACATTTATTTCCTCTCCACCATACAACACAGAGCTACGAGCACATCCACCATTCGCTTCACACACACACACACACACACACACGCACACACACACAGACACACAATGCACTCACACAATACATTCATAAACTCAGACACCAACAACGTATGAACACATTTTCATTTTTTTTCAGTTCATTAAATTGATCTAATTGGTATCGTTTATTATAATTTGTGTTGCATGGCCATTTATTTTACGGTAGGGATAGTCAAAGGGAAAATAAACTTTAACATATTTAATTTGGTTACACGTTGAGAAATTTCAAATAACCTTTTTTGGGGCGCGATAGCTCAGTGGTAGAGCAATGATCTCGTAACCGGGAGCTCTCGGCCTGGTCGATGAGCTGGTGCCTTTTGGTAAGGCTTTAATCTGCTTTACCACGCTCTTCGGAGAGGACTTAAAGCCGTCGGTCCCTTAGTTGATTTACTACATGCATGCACATGCTTTTCTAGCTATCAGGTAAAACAATACAAATAAACAATATTGGCTATTTCCTTTTTCAAATTTTTGACGAAGGTCTGACCTATGTTTAATATTTCCAGAGCGATTAAATTTGATAATGACAAGATGACAGTAAGAAAAAGAAATACTATTATATTATTGGCCGTAATACCTCGTATATATTACCTTAGAACTACATTCTCAAAAGAGCACAATGTAACAATAGATACCGCAGTATAATTGGGAATTCCCGCGTTGCAACTTTGCAATAAAACACGAAACACAGCTATTCCCTCTCCCCCCCCCCACACACACACACACGCACACAAACACATTTAAATCACACACAAAGGTCCTTTATTGTATTGCGAAGAAAGATCAGGTTTATCTCATCCTGCATTCAATACCTTTATACCTTTTCCCTACTCACAATTTCATGTTCAAATAAAGCACATGCTGTCTAAGTTTTTAGACGATTGTTTTCATGAAAATCATTTTTTTTTTTTGGTTCCATTCTCCACCAGACAGCCCAGTTACTTTACCTCTGCTGTTTTACCCCCATTGCCATATGTATAGGTTGTTTGGTATGTTTTATTGTCATTTTCATACCGGCTTGATCGAGCATGGCTGCCATTATGGCGGCTTAGCATTTAAGGAATCAATTTCCTGCCAGGTACCCATTTAACTCACATGGGTCGAGTGTGGCAAGCACGGCAAGTGTCTTGTCAAAAGACATTTGTTGGGAATGAAAGAGAAAGAAGGAAACTAATGTTGAAAAGGAAGGGGGAAGAGATAAAGGAAGAGAAAGAGATTATTTAGAAGACAGGTAAAGGTCAAAGGAGAAACAGAGAAAGAAAGCATGAGAGAAAAAGAAAGACAAGAGAGAGAGAGAGAGAATAATTATGTGTGAAAAAATAGGATAGAGAAAGAAAAGTGAAGAGAAAGTGAGGAGTTGATTTAGTGAAGTGTATCATATTTATCTCCACAGTACACTGAGGCAATGAAATTCGTAAATTGTATTTTCGCTATTTTCATTCACAATAGGGTCGAAATACGGTGCCAGGTAAAAATGTCAGAGGAAAAAATGTCAGAGGTAAAAATGTCAGAGGAAAAAATGTCAGAGGTAAAAATGTCAGAGGAAAAAATGTCAGAGGTAAAAATGTCAGAGATACCAACAAAATGTAATGTACAAAAAAAATTGTAGGGGAAAAATGGTGCCATCATAATATCTCAGCACTTTATCACACAAAATGTCAAGATATTAGCTACTGGACTAGTTTATTATATTTTATAAATGACTGTGTATTGTACTTCGTACATGTCCTGAGGATAATACAATGTGGAAAATAAATTTGAAACTTATATTTTGTGATCAGGTTTGTATATATTAATTTCTATCATTTTTCGATATGTTAAATTGGTTGATGTTTTAATGTTTATTTGGTTTTGAGGTAGTAGGCCTAAGTACATAGAATATTAAGATTGAATGAGATACAACAGGGAATCAGTTATAAAGATCGCACAGAAATTCCACAAATTCAGTAATTAGACCGATCTTCATGTCCACCCCAGCAAAGACTGTTATCACAAGAAAAAATTAATAAAAAGACACGGATGCTTTGTCCCCCTCATCAATACTTTATTACAAAAGTTTAACAAACAATATCAAAGCTTCGCTTGAAGAATGTCAGATAGTAGGCCTACAAGTGGTAAATGTTGAGACATATTTACGCAGGTATTTTGTCACATGCTTTCGAGTTTCGACAATAACACTGCGTAACTTTATATTTAAAAAAAATCATGTTTGTGATTAAGAAACGTGGGAGAAATACAGTATAAGTCCTTCAATTTCAACTGTTTTTGTTCTGCCAAATTCATGATGGCTTTTGTTTAATGTGTAGACTTGTACGAATATGTACCTCCTGTAAACTGTCGTATACAGTGTATGCCACCACACCTTTTATAAATCCTGCACCAAATATCCTTCAAACATCATGTGTACAAGCAGTATTATGATCAGGGGCGTCAATCCTGGGGGGGGGGGGACACGTCTTCCCGCCCCCAGTAATTTTCAGTTGGTGAAATGTTCCCCCCCATGTTTTGTCAGAAAAGAAGTTCTTTAATAATTTAATGTAACGTCAAAGGATCCGCGCAGGAGGGTGGGGGCAACTGAATTCCAACAAGGATTAAGAGTCGAGAACGGTACAACGAATCGTCTTCTTTCTCTGATAATCAAAAGAAACGTCACAGGTTCCGCGCTTCGCGCGTGAGAGGGGGGGGGGGGACTTTATTCAAACAAGGATTAATAGTCGACAACGGTACTACTAAACGTCTTCTTTCTCTAAAAAAATAATAAAACAGGGATTAAGAGTCGAGAACGGTACAACAAATCGTCTTCTTTCTCTAATAATTAAACGAAACGTCGCAGCTTCCGCGCTACGCGCGGGAGGGGGAAAACTGAATTCAAACAGGGATTAAGAGTCAAGAACGGTACAACGAATCGTCTTCTTTTTTTAATAATCTAATGAAACGTCAAAGCTTCCGCGCTTCGCGCGGGAGGGGGGGGGGGGGGGGGGGGGGGAACGAATTCAAACAAGGATTAAGAGTCGAGAACGGTATACAATGAATTGTCTTCTTTCTCTAAAAATGTAATGAAACTTGAAAGATATTCTTTTTAAAGACAATAAATGAACCGGTCACCAATGAAAGTACATGCCGTGAAACAGAATAACTAGAGAGAGAGTGTATGTGTGTGCAGCAACATAACGTGGTATAATTTTGAAAGTAACTGTAAAGGTGAAATGTAATTGTGTCCCCCCCCCATGCTCAAACTCGGATTGACGCCCTTGATCATGATGCTATAAATGTGTACAGTAAAACTATGTTTCTGATATTTTACTCTTGAGTAAATATTTGTAATTTTCAGAGTTTGATCTCTCACACCAAATAATTATAGAACGATGTAGCTTAACCCTAATAAGGCCGGGGGGGGGGGGGGGCCATTATGCCCCCCCCCTCCACAATTTTTCTGATTGTTCGAGAACGCATATGGATGGCGCCTCGCCGCTCGCTGACTTTTTTCTTTAGAGTCTTGCGCATCTTTAAAAAAAAAAAAAAAAAAAAAAATCGGACCTATAGTTACAAGGTCACGTGACCTTTTGTCTTTGCATGTCAGCCCGAAAATCGCTCATTTTTGTGATTTGTGTACAAAACATATGGAAATGTCATTTTTCCTAAAAATAGATCAAACTTGGTTATTGGGTCTTGTTTAAAGTTTAGGTGGTTGTTTTGGGAGTCAAAATAGTTGAATTGTAGGAAGAAATAAAAAACAAAACAAAAAAATAACATAAATAAGTTAAAAAAACAATGAAATACATAAGAAATTATCAAAACAAGAGATAACATAAGGAATAAGCTGGCTCTTCCATTTTTTTTGGTCGTATTATTGTTCCAAATGGTCTAATGAATATATGTAGTGAAAAAGAATGCTTAAATATGAATAATATAGGATTTAAGGGTAAAAATGTGATTTTATGACGTTATTTGCATAAATTACCATAAATATGCAAATGAGGGATTTTTTTCAAAAAATTGAAATTATCATATTGTTCTATACACTTCACTTGACATGCGTGCAAATTTTCGCGGAGATCGGCCGTTTCACGGCCGAGATCTTAGGGGGGGGGGGGGCCATAATGGCCCCCTCCCGGCCGTAGTAAGACTTCAAATAGCCCGGCCTTATTAGGGTTAAACAGAACCTCTGCAGAGCGCGCACTTATCTGGAATGTGATGGTGTGGTTGATGTAACATTAGCGGCTTTGTGCTTTGTATGAAGGTATCAAAGTATCAAGCCCACAAGAAAGTGAAATTATTGGAAATATGTATTTGTAGGAAATTACATTTTATAGTAGTCATTGCCACGTTTTAAAATGTCCATCAATCTTCAGAAGGGACGTTGAATTGGGGTGAAGGGGGGGGGGGGGCGGAGGACTCAAAGCATGATATCTTATCCTCTTTTTTTTGGGGGGGGGGGGCTGTGATGACTTTTATTTTTATTTAATGATTACACCATCGAGCCACAACTCGGCCTATAATTATTCATGGCCAAACTACTCGATTTTAGACATTCTTTTGACCCAGAAGTTTCCTCAGTGTACCGGTATCACTTGCTTAGACAAAGGAAATGACGGGAGGCAGCCGGGTCACGATGCCCCCCAAAGAAGCATACAGCCCCCCCCCCCCCGTATCCCCTCGGCAATAATCGGGCAAAAAGTCTCAATTTCGGGCAGAAAGGTAAATAAAAGAGCATCCTTCGTTTTATCTTTTCGATAAGCCTAATATACAAACATTACCAATATTCAACCTGTAACATGCTTTTTTATATATTTTACCTCTTAACATTTTTACCTCTGACATTTTTACCTCTGACATTTTTACCTCTGACATTTTTTCCTCTGACATTTTTCCCTCTGACATTTTTACCTCTGACATTTTTACCTCTGACATTTTTACACCGAGCCGTAATTATAAAGATCAAATTCGCATACACATTATAATATTTCGATTGATCCAGACTTTAACAGTGTTTATTGAAATTTGCCTCCATGCAGTGGCTTAGCTAATGTAAAGAGCATGATTGTAATAACGGTATACCTACATTCAATATTATCATCATGAATACCGAAATAAAGAGAGAAATAGCGAGATAAATGGGAGAGGGGAACGTGCGAAGGAGAGAAGGAGTGAAGAGAAGAGGGTAAGGATATGGACGGAGGACACAGAAGTATAATCAGACTGCTAGAAATAACCAAGTTTTGGTTGACAGAGAGAGAAAAAAAGAATCAGATTGCTGTTCAAAGAGAGATTGAGTACAAGTAATAGTTTTGATAATAATGGCAATAATTCACACATTTTAAATCTAAATTTAAATGTTTCCTTTTGTTCTCTTGATAATATTTCAGCTACAAATTAAGAGTTTTGGTGGACATCTAGGATGTTAAATGGCAATAAATCCTCGGCACATGTAGTGATAAATATATATATATATATATATATATTAGAATATGGATAAAATGATTTAAAACAAATAAGGATAGTAGATAAAACAGTTTGAAATCGAATAACATGTCTGTTGGGCAGTATATATTAATTTGCAATACAGTCAGGATGAAATTCCCTCCCCTATTAACACATGATCAATGATCACCTGTACATTATTAAGCTAAATAATTATACACAACACTTTTAACTCGGGCACATACCGGATAAGGAATAAATGAACAAAGATTTTAATTTGTTATACAAAATATACTGTTTTATTATAATATGTATTACGATAATGATAATCAAAAATATAATTCAATACTAATGATAATAGTAGAACAAATATTCATTGTTATGGTAATAACAATAACAATGACAATAATAGTCAGATTTATCCGTACTAAACTATGTGTAAAGTAATATTCCTTCTTGGTCCAAGCAGTCAGATATATGTATATATTGGACATACAAACACCCACACAAACACTTTACACGTGAGACAAGACTGATAAAAGAAAGATTGAAAACACAAAATAATTAAACTGTAAGAAAAAATTAATCCTATTAGTCAATGTCTAATACATTTACTATATGGTAGCAATTGATCAAACAGTATTGCATTAAAGTATAGAGCATGATCCCCCCATTCCTTCTTTCTGGAACTGGTACTGATTCCTATCATGCTTATGTATTTACTGACTGGAAGGAATTAAGGAAAGAGTTCATCAGCAAGACGAATTTGTCCAGATTGCTCCAAAGCATTCTTCAAATCTCCTCCCACGGTAGAATCCCTTTGACCTTTTCGCCAATCCCGGAGCATTAGAAGAGTTCCGTCATAATTATGTTACATTCTGGGTTTTGTGATTAGTTGCTATGTACCGATGAGTATCTTCCGGTGTAAATCCAAGCTTTTTTCCTTATGTGTCGATGTCCGAGTCCTTGTCGACTTTCTTTGCAACATATCGTCGAAATCTCTGGTGGACGGTAGAAGACCTGGCGTCGAGAATTACATGCAACATGAAGAAGAAAGTAATTAAATTTGTTATACTAGGTTCAATTATCTTCTGGTGACAATGGTGTGCAAGAAGAAAACTTCCTGGAAGTAATTGGTAAAGGATTGTGAAGTCTGGCAGATAGGAGAGCTATGCAAGAATCCACTATTATTATTAATATCATTACATGAGAAGTGGTGTAAACTTCTCCGGAAAATTACCCTCTAAGACAATCGCCCCCCTCCGAGGACTATAACCCCCCGAAAAACTGCTTGTATTATTACGATCAAGCTTGACTTCCCCTTTAGCGAACAGGGGGGGGGGGGGTGTCGGGTCGATTACCCAGGGGATAATTGTCCTGAGACGGGTAGTGAGTAAAGTCGGTAGTTAATTCCTTTCCAGACCCTGCTACAAAGGTTACATTCCCATTGGGGTGTAAATGCCGGACAAAATTTGGTTTGGCTGTAAAGCAATTTAGAGATTACTAGGAGAAGAAGAACAAGAACAAGAACAAGAACAAGAACAAGGAGAAGAAAAAGAAAAAGAAGAAGAAGAAGAAGAGGAACAAGAACAAAAAGAAGTAAAAGGAACAGAAGAAGAAGAACAAGAACAAGAAAAAGGAAAAGAAATTGTATACTCAACAGCATATTTACATCCTCGTTAGACAACATAGTACATATTTAACTCACCTGCCATTGGAAAAAGTTGGTGCCAATGGAAATACTTGGCAGAATCAATATGCCCTGTACTCCAACAAAGAAAGTACAGTTAGAAATTATGATACCGTTTTTGAAAGCGTTTTACAATGATTTAAAAATGATTTTTCACATTCTTTATTTGAATTTGATAATTCTTCAAAGTAGAACGTAAATTGTTACGATGAATATAAAGGCTGTCTGATTACCAGGATATTAGCTTGGACAACCCCTCCCCCCCCCCAAAAAAAGAAGAAGAATAAAAGCAATAAAAGCGTAGTAGAGGTGTCGTGGTCGAGTGGATAAGTCACCGGACTGTGGATCACAAGGTCCGCGGTTCAAGTCCCGCCGCGGCACTAATGTCCTTTGGCAAGACATTGATCTACATTTGCCACTCTCCACCCAGGTGTTAAAATGGGTACCCGGTAGGATGCGAAAGCTAATGTGGTTTGATTAGCAAGTGGCGCTTGTAAAATGGCGACTGGCTGGAATGCTCCCCAGGGAGTGGAGAATGTGCATACCTTGTGTGCGGGTAAGCCTGAATCCGATGACCGGGGTAATAATAATATGTTGTAAAGCGCTGTGATACACATGTATGTCTGTAAGAGCGCTATATAAATGCCAATATTATTATTATTATTATTATTATTTATTGTTAACAACCCCTTTTTAATAAAACAAAATCATGAAAGTCATAAAAAAAGAGTAACGTATTGATAACTTGTTAATATTCAATTATCAGTGAGATTTCAGGAAAATTCTACAGCTTGTATGTTGTACACGGCGTAAACGCAAAGGACCCATTCAAACACACGTATTATCCGATGCCGTAGCGTAGACCACAGAATATAAGATGAGACAAACAGGATTAATTTCAACGTATTTGCGGTTAAATTATGAAACAAATCTGATTCGCAATTATTTATCACTTACATTATGAATACAATAGGAGTAATCGTAGTTGTAATGAGCTTTCAATATAACCATAAATTGGATAAATGAAAACAAAGCTTGTCTACTGAATCACGTGTCACGTTAGAGCCGCAAGAATGGCTACCTATATAGACGAATGAACTTTGAACTTGGTAAGAATGTATAGCAGAATTTATTTAATCAAATGAAAGCAACACCTCTAACAGTCTCTCTCTCTCTCTCTCTCTCGCCCTCTCAAACACGCACACACACACGAAACACACATTCTTTCGAATGCATGCCTCATTATGCTGATACGTAAGATGAAGAACCAAAAAAGAAATATCCAATCTGCTTTTTTAAACGTTTAATTCTCGTTAAACAGCATGAAGTACACAAACGGATTCACCATTATACATGGACATGGTATTAAGATGTTAAAGAATATGAATCTTTGCATATAATATTATTTAAAAAAACCTGGCAAATGTTTTCTGAAAATGGATTACGTAGGTAAGCAGATTTTCCGCTCTGAAAGATACAAGTGATTTGAGTTGTATCGTTTGAATTACATTCCAAAGATACTAATATCATCGAGATTCAGGTAAAACACACTTCAAAGTAATATATTAGATCATTACTTTACAAAAGTTTCCACAGTTACCATGCTGACATGTTTGTCATCAAAAGTTAACACAAAGATAAACGATAATGTAAATCTTTGCCTTCAGCAATGTTAATCAATACACCAACAATTTCAATTATACCTTTGCATATTTATACTGCTTTTGCATGTTTTCTTTTCTTGTGGAACTACTAGGTACGATGTGATTTTTTTTTTATTAGGTTGGGGTTTCTTTAAAGGTATAGACCAGTTCTGGTCATGCGATTGCATTGTGAAAGAAAAGTTGTGGAATCGATCAGAAAGGTTGACCATCTAGCATATAAGTATTGGTGTGTACTGAAAGGTGCTGGAATCATCAAAATGATAAGAAATTTGGCCCAGTCTTGGTAAAGTTATAAGCACTGTACATAAAAATATGTAAATGGGACTACCCTATATCTATCCAGTCCAGATAGATATAATATAATTTACCAAATATATCAATTAGTAGGCGGTTTCCCGGCAAAATTTGTATTATTACGTATTGGTCAAAACATATTCTTTCACATGATTGGATGATTGGTAATAAGAGCTTCCATTTCATTTTTTGAGAGGGGGTGTTTCCAAAACTGGTCTTTACCTTTAACGACGCTCTAAAATTTCAAATATGCTTCCAGCATGGACTGGATATAAAACTTAAGTTTATGATATTCACATCAATTTTTTTTTTAATTACAATGTGTCCCAGAAAGTAAAGACGAAGGCTGATAACAAACAACAATTACGCTGCATTTTACAATACCTTGTTTTTTTCATAAAGAATATGTAATACGATTTCAGATGATACATTCGTTACTTTAATCCCCACTGATCAATATATTTTAAAATGGCATTTGTGCTAGATTTATGTAAAACTGGTGATAACTTAATAGTCATAATTATCGAATACGTTATCCAATTTGAACAGAAGAAACCATAAACTTAATAAAGAAAATAATGAGATAATCGGTTTAATTTTCCTCCTTTTAATAATGAGGACATGAGTAATGCCATCATCCTAAAACAAAGGACAGTGTAGATATTGTCAATGATGAAGGTAACAGGCATATATAGTATACAAACGGGTCATGAACATTATAACAATATTATTACTATTATTTATTATTCATTATTATTCATTACATAAACCTTAGTAGATGTTATACAAGGCGAGGCTGTTAGTCTACATCTCATACTGAGTTTTAAAACGTCCGATATCTGTTCCACGAGACCTTTAATCAAAATATCACTGATTTAAAGCCACCTTTCTGTGTACTCCACTAATTCAATTTATCATTAAACGCAGCATTATAATTGAATTGATGATTATTTATAAGATTCTTAAAGTATGATGCCGATTCCAATGTTTCCTTCTTTCTCTCGATAATATTTCAGCAACGTAATGGGAGTTTTGGTACACATCTTGGATGAAGAAAAACAATAAATCATGGGCACATGAAGTGAAAAAGACAATCATGATAAAAAGGATAACACGATCTTAAAGAATATGGATAGTAAGTGAGAAAAGGGTGAAATCACTTACACGTCTGTTCATCATGATGTTCCTTTGCAAAAAAAAAAATAGTCAAGATCAAATTCACTACCTAATTCACACGTTATGAAAGATTACCTTTACATTATTTAAGCTAAATAATTGTATAATAAAACCTGTCACTCCGGCACATACCAGATAATGAACACAGATTATTCTCATTTTTTTTAAAAGATATACTGTTTTTAACAATATGTATAACAATAATGGTAATTCAAAATATGATAATGACAATAGTAGAAATAATAATCATTATTCATCCGTACTAATCTAAAGTAAAATCCCTTCTTCGTCTAAACGCCAAATATACACATATGTATATATTTGACATAAAACACCTACACAAACACTTTACACGTGAGACAAGAGTGATAAAAGAACGATTGAAAACATCAAATAATTGAACGTTTATAAAAAGTGAAGCCTATAAACTGATGTCATAAAAATTACTATGTAGAAATTAATCGAACACCATTGCTTCAAAAGGACCGCTACTGATTCCTGATTACTTCATGTATTTACTAACTGGAAGGAAAGAGATCATCAGCAAGACGAATTTGTCCAGATAGCTCCAAAGCAGTCTTCAAAGCTCCTTGCTCGGTAGAACTTATTTGACCGTCTCGCCAATCCCGGAGCATTTGAAGAGTGCCAACATATGTTACACTCTGGGTTTTGTTATTAGTTGCTATGTACCGATAAGTATCTCCCTGTGTAAATCCAAGCTTTTTTCCTAATGTGTCGATTTCTGATTCCTTGTGGACTCTCTTTGCAACAGTTACCAAAATGTCGTCGAAATCTGTGGTGGACGGTAGAAGACCTGGCGTTGAAGAAACATGAAATATGAAGAAGAAAAAAAATATACTAAGTTCAGTCCTGGTGACTTAATTGCAGGCGCGGATCTACGGGGGAGGGGGGTTTAGGGGGTTTAAACCCCCCCCTTGGGCGCCCCCCCCCCAAAAAAAAAAAGGGGAAAAAAAGGAAAAAAAAAAGAGAAAAAAAAAAAGAAAAAAAGAAAGAAAAAAGAACGCACGCTGTAGAGAGAAGCCCTTTCAAGTGCAAATATTCTGAGAAGATATTCAACTCATCTGGTAACTTAACCAAACACATGATAACTCTGGATATAACTGTGTATTAAACTGTTACTTGATTTAAAAAGACGTTATCATGCACTGCTTTTTATGGTCTCCATTGTGTTAATAGATGCCAGGAAAACATCATTTACGGGGTTCAAATAAACACCCCCCAAAAAATCGGCTCGCCGCTTCGCGGCTCGTGGACGATGCTCAGCAACGTCATTATTTTGGTCAACCACCCCCCTTAGCAAAAGCTAGATCCGCCCCTGAATTGTGCAAGAAATTGTACATGGAAGTAGTTGGGGAAGGATTGTGTAGTACATGAGAAGTGGTGTAAACTTAAAAGATTTGAAATCATAAACAATGATGAGAAATTGTCTTATAATCTTGCTGAAAGCAATATGCGCTCTCACACAAATATTTGTATGGGATTAGAAACATGTGCAATGAAAGTTTGTTCCAAACAATTCACCGCTTTCGTGTCATATTTTGAAACAGTGAACATTTGAAGTAAAACAAATTTCAGGGGGCATTTCTTCTTTACTTTACTTCAAATTATCCGTTTCCAGCTTAAAACGACTTCATGAGGGTTTTTGACAATATACATTGGATCTAAACGGAATTCTTCTTCAAGAAACTTGTTAAGGTTCTGCAAGTAGACTGAAAAGGGCACGTAGTAACACAATGATTGTTTTATGAACCCCAATATTCGGGTAAAAGGGAACTCTGTGTCTAGAATTAAAAATTCAAGTGTAAACAAGTAACGGCCGAAATACTTGTATTTATTGACATTTCGGATGAGGGCAACTTGCCTTCCAACATTTTCCTGTTCTTTTTCGTATTCCTTCTATCGCAATAATAACATATAGCTTTATATTTGTATTACCTTCTTGCGGAGTACATGTAGTAGTAGAAGCAGCAGCAGCAGTATTAGGAGTAGTAGTAGTAGAAGTGCTAGTATTAGGCGATGAGGGGGATGATGTGGTTTTATCTGAAACATGATAAAGGTAAGGGAATCTTGATTACTATGATTTATTAATTGGCTTAATCAACCAGAATAGACATCACATTTTAAAAATGTTTTAGGGCGTAGATTTTCATTTGGTACAACATTTTATCCATACATACATTATCCGTAAGTTCGTGTGTAGAGTGAAAGTTTTTAAAATATACAAAGTTGGATTTGCTTATATTTAAAAATAGTTTATTACATCTACACCAACTAGATAATTTGTCCAAATCATAATTCGAAGCTCCAATGAGAGTATTTAAATGTACATGTGAATACAATACATTTGTGTCGTCTGCCAATAAAATGTAAGTTAAGAGTGGTGATGTGTTTACAATGTCATTAATGTTTTTGTCAACGTTTTTCCAGAACCAATCCCTACGTGATTGTCAATATTTATCTCATTTAATTAGAACATTGATTCAAAAGGTAACTCCTATGAAAAACTTTTGATTTGACACACACTTTATTTTATTTGAGGTTTTAATTCAAACACATACACATACCCTAAACGGCCGAACGCAAGTATACACACACTCATACTCATGACCCCGCACATAGTAGTCTCAGGAAGTAACCCTAATGTAAACCTTTTATTTTCAAGGAATCAATGAGCAGTTCTTATCCAATGAGGACTCGTTTTCTTCCACACATATATATCAGTTAAGAACAAAGACTCTCTGAATCACTTTACCATATGCTTTCAAAAATGTTACTTTCTCAAAATGGGACAATTTCTTTTCAAAACACTATTTTATTCCTCACCCAGCAACTTGACGCAAGTGATATCTGGCAGTCTTGTAAAGATTGTCTGATGTTCAGTCATGCATGCAGAGATTCGAATGAAAATGGTAACTAAGTGTACTGGGAGGATAACTCTATCAAGACATATCATGAAACCCATGATTAGATATTCATACTCTAAACAATATAACTTTTAAAAAGTGGGACATTTTTTCTGACTCACTCTGTCGAAACAACTGTGAGATTTTTTTTCTTCTTTTGTTTTGTGCACACAAATCAGAAATGATCCATTTTGGGGATGACATAAAGTCACTAGAAAGCGACTCTGTAATGGTTACAATTTTCATGAACCTGGTATCAAAAGATGAGCATGACTTGAAAAAAGGGCAGAAAATGACTGGGCCTGAAATGCCAAAAAAGTGAGTGAGTCTGTAACCATGTATAAATGGTCACAGCCCATGCAACCGACAACCAACAAGACCGACAATGTATGTCTAGCTAACCTTCTGAAGTTGACAGAAGACCCACACGATCAACGACCCAAGCCTTGGACCGACAGTTCACAAGAACAACATGTTGGTCTTTTGTGTGTTCTGACAACTATTTTGAGGGTTCAACAGACCGGCAGTATCAGTCTTGTGGGCTGTTCGTCTATTGGGATGTCCTGCTATAAGTAACCGTATTTGTAACAAACGAGAGAGAGGCAAAATAGTGTTTGTGGGCTGCCTGCAAGAGCAATATATTGGTAATGGCAGTAAGGCGTTTCCTGCTAATTCTCACCGGTATGCTTCGGGACTAAAATGCCAGAGAGGGCCTCTAAGCCACTTCTTTCTAATTCCTCTGCAAGAAGAGCCCTGATGTCTGTGCCTGTAGGCTGTTTGTCTCTCCATCTCGTGAAGACTGTCATCAATGCATCACTGGCATTTTGGCTACGTTCCTTGATTTGCCCAAGCTCTGCGATGGAGATGTCCAGGTTAATGCCCACCTCTTTGTAGAAGCTAGGATCTATTTTCTTGGACAGCTTTAAGAATTCCTTCTCACTGACATTCCTGTTTTTGAAAATAAAGATGTTTTCATGCATCTCTTAAGTACCTCTCTTATTGTGTTGTAGCCCCTACAGTACATTACGACCAATTTTTTTTTGAAGCTACATGCACTGACAACATACATTAAAGGATGCCCCACCCACCAAAGGTGCTGACGATAACCACGAGTACATGTAAACTAAAAAACAGAGAACATATATGAACTTTGTGTCATGCCTATAGTCTCAGTAACAGGCACTTCTATTTTTCCAAGTGATAACCTATAGGGTTAAAGGGATAGTTGACTTGTGTTTTCAGACCGCAAATGCCTTCAAAGTGCATGGTTATTGCTCTTATTCTTATCTATGACATTTATAGTGCCCTTTTAGAACCTACAATTGCTATGAAGGTAATTTTAGACCCAAAATGTGTGAAATTTAGCCAATACGATCATACCAATTCAGCTCCACTTTAAACAAAAAACACGGTGACCGTTAATTAATTATTTAATTAAAAATAACAATACATGACCCGGCTAATTGTGGGTAATATAAGCAACACGAAAATGCCAACAAAAAAGCCAACATCAGAATTGGCTGAAATACGACGTAAAAGGTGCTATTTCGTTTTTTCAACGGTTTTTTCAAATTTTTCAAAATATTTAATATTTGTGGTAGTACACAGGTATTAAAAATCGTTATATTTCAGCCGTCTCTGAACTGATTTTGATCAAACAAAGATGATTTTGTCTTTTAAATAATATGTTCTTTCAAATTTGACACTCAGTTTTTCATTATCTCACAACAAATATTTTGTGTAGCGCCCTCTGTAACAGAACTCACTATCTCTTTAAGTACAATAAGAGTCATGTCACATAATCGCAAAAGCGTGAGTATTTATGAATTACTGGCCTGTAAAAAAAAAACTGTCAACCTTACACTTTCTTTAATTGAAAATAAAGATGTTATCATGCATCTCTTAAGTACATTTCTTATTGTGTTGTAGCCCCTACAGTACAACTGACAAGATATATTAAAGGAACCCCCCCCCCCATCAAATGTACTGACGATAACCAAGAGTACATAAACTTAAAGCCGGAGAACATATATGATATTTGCGTCATACCTAGTCTCAGTGAGAAGCACTTGTATTTTCCTGGGGACTAGATTGCCAGCGAGTAGTTCGCCAGAGAGGGCCTCTAAGCCACTGCTTTCTAACTCCTCTGCAAGAAGAGCCCTGATGTCTGTGCCTTGAGGTTGTTTGTCTCTCCATCTCGTGAAGACTGTCAGCAATGCATCACTGGCATTTTGGCTACGTTCATTGATTTGCTCAAGCTCCGCCCTGGAGATGTCCAGGTTAATGCCAACATCTTTGTAGAAGCTAGGATCAATCTTCTTGGACAGCCTTAAGAATTCCTTCTCACTGACATTCCTGTAATTGAAAATAAAGATTTGATCATCCATCTCTTAAGTACCTCTCTTATTGTTTTGAAGCCCCTACAGTACATTGCGACCTTATTTAAATATACGTCAAGTTATCTTCAATGATTATTTGAAAGCTATGTATCAAATTGGCAATATGAATATTCATTTTGGGGGTAGGGAAACCTTTCTTTCCATATTTTTTTTAATTTTTTTTTTTTTTTTTTTACTTGTAATTGATTGGTTGGACGGTAAAAAAGAGGTTTAATGTTTTTGGATAGGCTTTTTTGTTGTTAATTGTTTACGAGTGACGTCATAGCAAATATGTCACCGCACACTAAGCGCACGTTTATGTGAGTCTATGAGAAACGTACGTGGGGGGGGGGGGGGGGGGAGTCCACCCTGATAATAAGTTGGTTTTAATAAAGTTATTATTTTTTTTTTGGGGGGGTGGGTTGGGGGAGGGGGGGGGGTGGGGATTGTCCCCGGGAGAGAGGGTGATCGTCCAAGGGTGTAATCTTCAGGTGATGGGGGTAATTGTCCCCCTAAATTGTCAACGGGGGATTATATTCCAATGGGGTGATTTTCTGGGGGTAATTGTCTTCGGGAGGGGGGGGGGGATAATTGTCCTTGGGGGTTAATGGTCCCGCTGGTAATTGGCCAGGGTTGATTGTTAGGGGGTAATTTTTCTAGAACCGGTAAAAATATGTATCACTGAAACGACATAAAATAATGAGTCCTTATAATATCAACTGAGTATGCTGCAAAATTTGTTATTTGTGTTAATGGAAGAAAATCTATGCGCGTTAAGGTCTTGCTTCGCTTGCTATGTTCTGCTTGGAAACTCAGATTTTAGTGTCCCCCCCCCCAAGAAAAAAACGGATTGACACCTCTGGATCATTACAAGCCCCTAATGGTTATTAATGTTGCAAAAATAACAGGAAAGAAGCTTCATTTATACTGACCTGTCTGGTCCGGGGTTAGATTCAACATCCCCCGATCTTATCAGGAGAATCATGAGCAGATAATGAAGGCAGAATCCATCCATCCTTCTCATTTGACAGAAATCTAGTCGGCTGGAAAGGTACATGAATGATAACCCCAACAGGACTTCCTGTAATAGACACACAAGTGGGATTCTGTTTACTTATTAGTGACGTGCATGTATAATGTACATAAACTGGTTCATCTCCCCCTCAGCCACTCGACTTTTGTGATTTAATACTAAAGTTTATTCAAAGATACTGGCCCGAATTCACAAAGCAAGGTTTGAGCTCAGACCAAGGTTTGAGCTCAAACCTTGGTCTGAGCTCAAACCTTGCTTTGTGAATTCGGGCCATAGTGGCTAAAATGTTTGGGGATGATCTTGCTTATATCCGTGAAGAGAGACAAAATACACATTGAAACGGTTTATGAATTAAAGCTAATTATATGTCATATTGGAATTATTCTGATTGTGTATAGGGTGTATGTACAAATAAATATTTTTGGAATTGACACACATTCAAATAAAGACTAGTAAAAGTTGAAGCCAAACCACACCAATAATAAAGGACTTATGAATGTCTGAGATATGAGATCACTAAGTCTACGTGTAACTCAAATTTCGTCAGTGGACTGTGAAGTTGTCAAGGACTACCCTTCCATCCGTGTGCGCAAAAATATCATGTATTCCCCCTTCTTATTCTACACAGGGGTACTAATCTAAATATCTAATAATCAGCACACCATCAAAGGTTCTCTCAAAAATAGAAGACCCTTCTGAGTCATTTGAGTCATTTCTTTTTGTTTGTTTACGAATGGCAAAGTTGACTGGCACTATGTCACATTGACATACTGATTCAGCCAATTACACGTGTCTATATAGTGATTACGATTTAACCTTCACATGTTTTGTTCAATTTTTCACTTTCACCAATCCACTTTTTCCCCTGATATCTTTCAGAGCACTTGCCAATTAAGGCTTGATTTTCCTTTTAACAGTACAACTACAGCTAGGGTAGACCGAGAGCTTCAGTCTCTTATACCGGCGGTTGTTCCACCGAGATTACATATGGCTTCACTGAGTGACTCGATGTATATAGTTCAGTCGTTATTTTCATTCACCCTAAAAACATACATAGAAAACTATAATCAACAGAGCACCATCACTAGAAAAACAAAGGAAATCAGAGACACCAAACTATAACAGATATGAGAAGGATGAGTACGCGAGTCGGAGGTGGAAGCCTGACTGTACTCTATCTACTGCATTCTTCCAAGCTCCACATTCTCCGGAAAAGGTAAAATAAAATACACAAAACAAATTACGATTTTAGAATGATGAGTCAACACAAAGAGAGCAAATAGTCCTATAAAAGGTTGACAAATGTTAGTTATAAGAAAGATATACCCATACTTACCAGGTGGTAATTTTTCTGTGGTTTTGGAAACCTCTTGTTTCACCGCACGCACAATTCTTGTGTGTAGCGTATACGGGGTTATAGTCCACTGCCTGGATTGTTTCCGTTTCGCGCACCCTGCTTCTCCAGCCAATGACAAATCGCTTCCATCCATGTTGGGGTCATCTATATTGTTCATTTGGAGTACCCCCTATAGGCAAAACGACGGAAAATCAAAAAAAAAAAAAAAAAAACCTTTGCAATGTTTTTTTAAACATATGTTTTAAACATCTGTCGAAGTTTCACCAATTCTGTGAAGTGTAAAAGCAGACTTCGGTAAGCTAAAAATGAATGCGCCGATTTCTCGTGTAAGGGAGGGGTGGGGGGGGGGGGTTAAAATGGGCAATTACCCCCCCCCCCCCCCCCCACCCCCCCCCCCCCCCCCCCCCCCCCCCCCACACACAAAATCAGACCCGGCAGACATTCATTAAAGGGAAATCCAACCCCAATAGCAAAGAAAGCAGACAAAATATTGCTTTATCGAGTCTCCTAAACCCGGCTAGAGAATTTCCCTATATCACCGTTAAAGATCATAGAGAGCCATTGAATTGTAAAAATTGCACAAAAAACGAATCTTTTTAGATTTGTGCTCTCGCCCATATTTATGGTATCATATTGCTTCCGGGAGAGGCAATGCAGTAATCAGCAAAGTGACCAATATATATTAAATGTTTTTTTTTCTTCTTCTCAGCACATCATCAACGAGTGGTAGCACCTGACTAGGGGGCATGCACGGCTAAGCATGAAGGGGGTGGGGTGGTTAATTCTTTAAAAGGCCAAAGTCTGATGTCTGACAAGGAATCAAAATATCCTAATTGTTATCGCACTGTGAATTGATGATGTTTTTCTTTGGGAAGCCTGTACACTGTTATGCATAATGGGTAATGCCTGACCAATTTTGAGCCAATCTCTTGTCCACATTTGATAGGCGCCCGCTCCCCCCCCCCCCCCCCCCCCCCCCCTCCGTGAACGGATGGATACCATACGTGTTACCAAAATGTCCGGTAAAGGGGTACTTTTCACGCACGAGAGTCCGGCTCGTAGTACACAAAAATCCGTCCCGTTTTGATTTTACACACCGGACATAGGGGGGTGTTTTCAGAAGGAGGGAACATGCATATCCGTACCCTAAATAACACTGAGTGGGGGGGGGGGGGAGGGATAGGCGTAACCATTTACTACAAATTTAAGGTGAGGACGCCAAAGTTGGGCCTGGAAACTGCCCTTCAGTTATTTGGCTGTATAACTACACTCACGTACAACACTTTTGGCAAACACTACTTTTTAGTTTAGAGGCAATGCGTTATCATACAAAGATCTAACAGAATTGAACATCCATCTGAATAAAGAAATATGCAATCATTGTTAAAACGTGTTCACCCATTATGGACCGATGCTTTCAGTACACAGTGCTGTACTGCAAAATGATTAATAGAGAACAATAGTGGGGAAATCCCACTTCTACAGCATATCACGCGATGAGCTAATATGAGAGGCGCCGACCTTGGCATGTCAATGAAAAGACACCCTCTCTCGTTTGGTGTATCGGACCCTTTTCTCAATGAAAATATCAACAATTCAATTTACGAACTTTATTGGCTCTGGACAGCGTGGACATATAAAACACTTACAACAATTCTCTTTCGCTTGTATTTTCTTTCTTACATAATTGTTCCCCTCTCTCTCTCTCTCTCTCTCTCTCTCTCTCTTTTCATTTCTTTCTCTCTCATACGTGCTTTCTTCGTTTTATTACTATTATTATTTTTTTTACCTCTATCTGTCTTTTGAAAAATATCTTGCTCTTCCTTTTTCTCTATTTTTTCCCTCTTCAACATTAGTTTCCTTGTTCTCTTTCTTTCCTTACAAATTTCTTAGCAAGATACTTGTCATGCTTGCCACACTGGACCCGTGTGAACTAAATGGGTACCTGGCAGGAATTGATTCCTTGAATGCTAAGCCGCCATAATGGCAGCCATGCTGAAGCCGGTATGAAAATGACAATAAAACATACCAAACAACCTATAAATATGGCAATGAGGTAAAAACAGCGGAGGGACCAACAAAGGCCAAATGCATGTCCCCGGAATATATAATACATGACGCTATCGATATAACTACACATAGACACACACACACTTAAAAGCACACTCACACGCGTGCGAACATAAACACACACAAAGTAAGGGCATAATTATGGATATTTCATCAAGTGGTGTAAGACTTGATCACCCCAATCTTACATTTAATTGTTTAATCTCTTAATGTGTGATAGTTAGATTCATTCAACAATCATACTTTAAAACAAGAAAGTATGCTAATGTAAATGGGCTGTCTGGTGGAGAATGGAACCCCCCCCCCCCAAAAAAAAAAACGATTTTCATGAAAACAATCGTCTAAAAACTTAGACAGCATGTGCTTTATTTGAACATGAAATTGTGAGTAGGGAAAAGGTATAAAGGTATTGAATGCAGGATGAGATAAACCTGATCTTTCTTCGCAATACAATAAAGGACCTTTGTGTGTGATTTAAGTGTGTTCGTGTGCGTGTGTGTGTGTGTGTGTGTGTGGGGGGGGGGGGAATAGCTGTGTTTAGTGTTTTATTGCAAAGTTACAACGCGGGAATTCCCAATTATACTGCGGTATCTATTGTTACATTGTGCTCTTTTGAGAATGTAGTTCTAAGGTAATACATACGAGGTATTACGTCCCATAATGTAATAGCATTTCTTTTTTTTACTGTCATCTTGTCATAATCAAAATTAATCGCTCTGGAAATATTAAACATAGGTCAGACCTTCGTCAAAAAATTGAAAAAGGAAATAGCCAATATTGTTTATTTGTATTGTTTTACCTGATAGCTAGAAAAGCATGTGCATGCATGTAGTTAATCAACCAAGGGACCGACGGCTTTAAGTCCTCTCCGAAGAGCGTGGTAAAGCAGATTAAAGCCTTACCAAAAGGCACCAGCTCATCGACCAGGTGTCCAATCCGAGAGCTCCCGGTTTCGAGACCATTGCTCTACCACTGAGCTATCGCGTCCCCAAAAAGGTAATTTGAAATTTCTCAACGCGTAACCAAATTAAATATGTTAAAGTTTATTTTCCCTTAGACTATCCCTACCGTAAAATAAATGGCCATGCAACACAAATTATAATAAACGATACCAATTAGATCAATTTAATTTAATGAACTGAAAAAATGAAAATGTGTTCATACGTTGTTGGTGTCTGAGTTTATGAATGTATTATGTGAGTGCATTGTGTGTGTGTGTGTGTGTGTGTGTGTGTGAAGCGAATGGTGGATGTGCTCGTAGCTCTGTGTTGTATGGTGGAGTGGAAATAAATGTAGCCTTCTCAATAAAGCGCAGCTACTATATCAATAACATGTACTGCGCCGTGATGAAAACATAACTCCCAACAGTGCCACTTTACAGACGTAGAATAATAATTTGTTTTAGATTTCCAATCGTTAATATCTTGATAATTAGACAGTCGATCGGCTTGTAAAAGTCATGGGGTTCTTGACTTGGTCATTTTTCACTCAAATTTTCAGATTATCTTTAATTTTACGTCTAGCATTCAATTCACTACCTTAGGACCACTTTCTCCCAGCTTAACAATGTTACCAAGTCCCTTTTAACATTATTATTATCATTTGTAGTAGTTCTAGTGTTTGTATTATTACTACTTTTATCATTACCATTTTCATTAGTTTGAGCAATAATAGGATTACAATATTAACCAACTGATTTTTCACCCGCCCCCCTCCCCCCACTCCGGGGTCGGAATGACCGCATGCGTGTTACCAAAATGTCCGGTAAAGGGGTACTTTTCGTGCGACAAAGTCCGGCCCGAGAATTGTAAAAAAAGGGGGTGTATTCGACTTTTCACCGGAGATTTCTTTAAAAAGGGGGTATTTTTCTTTCTTTTCTCGCATCTCTTTGGACTCCTGAGAAATTATTCCGAATTTAGGGGGTACATTGAGCATTTTTCCGAATTTAGGGGGGTCTTCAAGGCAGGAAAAGCCTGCTAAAAGCCTGCGAAAGGGGGGTTCGGAAATATTGGCAGTCCTCAGATAGGGGGTGCTTTTAAAAAGAGGGAACAAGCATACGCGTACCCTAAATAACACTGAGTGGGGGGCAGGGATTTTCCACCCTTCCCCATATTTGCGTTATATCCTCCCCCTAAGGTATATGTGGCGCTCTCGTAGGCCCTAAATGATATCTAACACAATAATCGGCCCTTTTTCTCAACTTTTTAAAGACAATTTAAAAAAAATACATCTCTTGTGCCTACATAAACATGATAAAACCATATCACATGAAATAAAATGAACGCTAGACGTAGTAAAATATCTCACAGTCTTTTTTCTGATCTTGAGATCTCTCTCTCTCTCTCTCTTACACACAGACGCCCATACGTACACACACATTCCCTCACCTCCATGCCTCATTCTGCCGATACGTAAGATAAAGCACAACAATGAAATTTCCAAACTTTTTTTTCAAGGTTTTATTGTAATTAAACAGAATCAAGTGCACAAACAGAATCGTTATACTCGAACACTGAACAAACATGTTCGAGAATATTAATATTTGTATATTAAGAATATTTTATGAAAATGTTTATTGAAAACATTTTTGTAGAATTAAACAGATATTTCGTTATAAAAGATGCAAATAAATTGTGTTATGTTGCTTGAATGACAAAACAGGTTACTGATCAAATCGAGATGCGGGCATCAGTAGATATATACTCAGTCCTTTACAGCATTACTAAGATTACAGGAGTTACGTGTGTGTCACGAAATTACGCACTTTAAGAACGTGACGTTGACAACCCATTGGGTTTATGCACCACTTCATTACTAGAAAAAAATTAATAAGAAACCTTCTGCTATATATGCTTTAAACAGTTGTCACGAGTATATGAAATACATGGAAATCTTTCGAGAGAAAAAAAAATCAAAGCAACACTTTAACCCTTTGACTACGGAATTTTGTCATTCTCATATGCTTAATACAGGGACTACCCGGTCCCAGTACGCAAAG